AAGAAGTTATATATTTTCCTCTAAGAAGAATATGTCAATTGTATTCATAAATTGACGCAAGACTTAGAGGATCAGATAATACATTTTATTATAATAAAATAATTATACGTATTTGGGGACATAAAATAGATTTACTTTTTAACAGCAGGCTGACATACACATACCATACAACATTATTTCTTCATCTCGAGAGGCCCAGAAGAGTCAAGGAAATTAGTACTACCGTAAAGAACAGAAAACTGGCCTACTCTGGCCACATTTTAGGTAATGACAAGTACCGACTTTTACTTACATTACATTTATAGGATAAGATGGGTCAACGTGGTCGACAACATCACAATAAGATCGGCACCGTTAGAGTAGTGTAGTTTGTTTACTTGACTGCTACCAACAACATAAGATATAAAGTAAAAAAAGCAACATACATTTTGAAAACCGATTCTGAATTCTATAGTGCTGATGGAGGGCAAGATTATGTTCTTGATAATCAGTCTGATACAAGTAACGATGATATATTATTTTTAGTTGTTTTCTTCATTTTGCGAATTAAAAATTACAAATAACAACAAATCACAGTAGTGTTGTAATCGCCGTCAATTATGTCAGTGTCTCATACTTCTAACAAAATAAGCAAACAGGTTTTATCCTTATCATAAACAATGCGATATTCTGCTTTTATTCTAGCAAACCAAAGAGCGCGGTCAAGAGAAAATGTAATGCGCTGTGTCCCCAGACACTTTTGTCATCTCGAAGCACATGCAACCATGTAGAAAAACGATTCTGCAAATGGCAAACTATTAGAATAAAAAGAACAACATTTGTTAATCAAGATGAGGAATAAAATGTCTTATTCAACCCACAACGTTCGCCAAGTAGCACTATTTTTAAATGAAAATTTTGAGGAATTAAGGTATCGGGAAGGAATCCATAGTAGCAATAAATATCGTTATTTTTAGAATAAATTTTGTTTGTTTGTTGCTGTATGTAATTTTTCAATTATAAAAAAAAGAAAATGGCTAAACAAAATCTAAGCAATATGTAGGGTTGCTCATTAATTCGCGAAGGTGCGAAATATCAGTAAATATTTATTTTCGAGGGAAAAGTCTCGTACTTAAGAAAACGTTGTTCGTGTTTATCAAGTGCGGATTTTTAAATTATTTTCCAATATACGGGGTGCGTTATAAACGTATGGCAGTAATCAACTATGATTTCTTAAATGAAACCCCCCATTTTTGTTCGCTTTTCGAATTTATTGTCAAATTTTACTGTAAATTTATTTCGAAAATTTTATCTGAAAAACTTATGGTTTTTGAATGATTGGAAAAAATATGAAAAAATTCACAGCTACTGACGCAGACCCGCTGCAAATGTAAAACTCGGTCTTCTGCGGTTCTAAGATGGCCTAATAAGCTACGCGCAGAGAGGTTTTAATTTTTAAAGAGATCTCTATAAACGGCTCAATTAGCCTCTAAAACTCCTATTTTTTTACTTTTTAAAATTAGTGGCGAATTTTAGCTCTATTTTATGTTACTAGTACTTAGACTTACCGTTTTTAATCTATTCGGAAAAATTTAGAAAATTATTGAATTTTTAGTTTAATCAAGTTAACCGGCTACATGTTGACTTGAAACAAAAAATAAACGTTTGTTGGTTCCCAAGTCCAAGTAAGTACAAGAAGTCTATGAAGTAATACTGCCAACTTTAAGAATTAATAATGAAAAACTGGCAGGTTCAAACTGGTCAAAGTCATACAGCATTGAAAGAAGATTTCTCTATGCTCCAATGTAACGTCTAATCTGATATCTGTCTGGGTGGTTGAAAAATGCTCTGAGGAACTCGAAAGTGTAGATGTAGCCGAGTCTACGGAATAATGCTGTCAATTTTGAGAATTAACTAGGAAAAATCTAGCATGTTCAAACTGGTCAAATTCATATGGGTTTTCCAGTAAAGCTTTCTCTATTTTAAAATTAAACTTCTGTTCTGATATCTGTTTGGGTTGTTGGTAGATGCTTTGAGGAACTCAACCTTGTCACTTTAACGCAATTTGGTGTCGCAAACAACTGAAAACGTAATATTGTTTTGGACTATCGTTACAACTAGTTGACATGATCTACGTATGGGATCTGCTGATCAAAATTGTATGATGTATGGTCAGCAGAAAATTAAGGAAAGATTGATTTTCGTAAATTGATATTTATATGCCAGCACGTAGCTTGTTAAGTCTTCTTGGAGATGCACAAAAGCAATTTCGAAGTTCGCAGCGATTTCTGCGCCAATTTCTTTGTAACCCAGCAGCTGTCAAAATTTTAATTTTTTTTATAATTTGAAAACCGTAAAGTTTTCAGTAAAATCATTTTAAAAATACTAACATTAAATTCCGGCGATAATTCCGAAATTAATAAAAATAGAGAGTTCCATTTAAAAAACAATCGTTGGTAACTACCGCACGTTTATGACGCACCCGGTATATTGAAAACTTAATTCAAAATGTGCACCTTTTAAACATAAAAAACTTGGGATCGTAGGAAGTTTTTTTCTTCTGTGTACGTTTTTGAAATCAGGAAAATAAATCCTATCTACGTGTTTCATGTATGAGGAAACTTATGAGGAAACAACATTTCCTATATAGGATCCGAGAAAAAAATCCGGAAAACTTTTTCCTAACTAACGCAAACGAGCCTAGAAACTTTAACTTTTTGATCAGGCATATCAAATGTAAAAACAAGCATAACTATGTCGAAATTTCCGACTCAGAAAGGCAAGCCATTATTGGGAAATTTTATCTCCAGACGGCGTTCGCACCTTCTAGCATTCACGAAATGGTTAGAATACACTTAAATTAACCAGTAGGTTTTCTGACAATATCATATTTAACCCTTGGTATACCTAACCTATTGATTATGAACAAGATGTTGTATATAAACTGGACACATTAAAGATTGATATAATAAGAAAGCATATTTTCATATTGTTTTCTGAATTTGTATAACGGTATTATTTCTCAATTTTTGTGTTGTATTTTGCATCTCTACTGCTAGATTATTAATGCTGATTCAATGAGTTCGTCCGTTTTCTTACATTTCGTTTTTATTATCTGTGTTTTAACAAATCTTCTTTTTAAAGCATTTTGTAAACTTAAAAAATAACGAGAAATGTTAATACCATCTTTTAGAGACGGCACTGAGTTGTAGTCAAAATAAAACCAATACATTTATGGCTCGCAAAAGTGTTTATAAAACAGCGGCCGCCTCGACATGCTGATGACCATTTATTTCAGCAGCGGAGTCCGTACCGTTTCTTTTTCTATGTGCAAGAATTTTATACCAGTTTTGTTGGCGATTTTTTGCGATCCGTATATCATATAGCAGTTCTCATTACCAGCGGCACAAGCTTGCGAGATTTTATCAAAGCCCTTTGCGAAATTAAACTTTTTTCATTGAGTTCCGAGTAATCGTTTTAATAAATGATGTACGTTGAATGAAAAAGGAACCGTATTTGTTACTGCGTCGTGTACCGTATTGTAGTAATTATATCTGAATGGAGTTTTTGTCGGCGTAAATAAACAAGGTATTTCAAAAAATTATGTGCAAGAAAAAGACGAAAATGTAACTTCAAAACCGAAGCCGAACATGGTGACTGAAGTATATTTAAACTGAAGACTGAAGCATAATTAAATTTTTTTTAAAAAAGTCAAACTTTAAACACGAATCAGTCGAACAGAACGAAAATATTCGATGAAATGTGTTAGAATGAAATTGAAACCGAATAGATTTTTTTGTTGCTTGGAATTAAAATAGCACCTAAAGTGTTTTTATCTGTATTAAAAGTATCATCATTTCATATGTTATGCGAAATGCGAACTAATTATAACATGAGATACTTTACAATAATTTACCATATTTGCAAAGAAATTTAATCGAAGCAGATGCTTATTAAAAATTTGCAACGAAAAACCAAACAATACTGTTTGAATACCACGAATCAAGACCTTATAGCCCTAAAATGTAAGATCATTTGATAAGTTACGGGTGATTACGGTGAAATAATGTAGGTAATTGAGCTGTTTCCGACTTCGAAATTTTTGCAAATGCAGATTCTGGTCTAATAAAATAAATTATTAACTCCCATTCTTTCTATTGAAATGTTCTATAATTTGAAGATGTGTCACGAGAGATCGGTATAATGCATTGAGCAAATAAAACAATAAAGGTGAACTTAACCCTCGGGGCAATATTAAAAGTCATCTCGGGTAGCACAAAGAGCGACCGACCCCTCTTACCCTAAAGTTGGCGGCTTCCCCAACAGCATATTAAACTGTTTGAACATTTATTAGTTGGGGTGACCACTTGCCCATGATTAAACCCCGTAGGGGTGGCGAAGAATTTTAATATATGTCAGTCGGAATTAATGTCTTTCAATTCTATAAAAGGTAATTCCATTACTAATATTGTTTGCTGTTAATATAAATATTTTCAAAAATATGATTCTATATTCCCAGGTGCCCATTGCCCCAAGGTGTACATCGACGACTCCTTAGCGGATTTGGCTGTTTAAGCACAGCAAAACCAGAAATGAAGTTTTCACTTTTTTTGTGTTGCATGTAGATCCCAAAACTTGATTTTCAAGGACCATATATTTTTACATATTTAATATATTTAATAGCCTGAGCTGTCTAATATAATCCGTCAAAATAGCCGATTTGGCAAAGGCGATGTCTATCTACATAAATGCGTTTGAAACCCTTATTGAACGCCATATGAAAGTTTTTTTCAAGTACCAAACAGCTTTAAATGCACATAAAAACCACGAATGAAAGTTAGGAGGAAATGAGTGATTCTGACCAACGAAAAGTGCCAACTAGCCCACGCAATGAAATAAAGTATTATTATGCTTCATCTCTTTATTTGCGAGATTTATGGTACCAATTTAGAATATCGACGAAGAAAGTAAAGTATTTCGGGTAAACGGAAACATAGTTACAAGTGTAATTAACATAACAATTGATAAAAATACGTTTATTATAAGGGGTACCACATGAATTCGAAGCTCTTCAGTCCAAATGTTTTCTCCGTTGCAGCTTTAGGTGTATCTTCGGACTCCAATCCCAAATTAATAAACTTCACTTTCGGTCTGTAACCATTCTCATCCGCAATGTACGTAACAACCCTGCTTATGCCATCTCTACCATTCACAAAATATCTGAAACGTTTTTGGGATAAATATTGATAACTGATTATTTAAGCGAATAGTGAGTTAGTTACTGATTATTATATAAGGATAAATATTACCCATTGTGTCAAGAATTACTGGAAATGTTCACTTCATAGGGAATTTAATTTTCATAGTTAAGAAAAACTAAAGAACCTGTAAATATATATGAAGAAAAGCGTTCGGAATCCTTACTATCAGGCCGGTATTGTGCTATATCCTTTGTAACTACGTATTAACAAAATCATACAAATAGAACGTAACAAACAAATTGTGGGAATATGTTTGCGATTTAGAGAATAAGCGGGAAATATAACTTGTAAATGAATAATTATGGAGAAAGATTAGGTTTTAAAAGTAATCGCACTGAAGTTGATGGCGGGTTTGAATGAGACTAAAGCTGCTGGTTTTACTGCGGAGGAATTTTTTTATATTTCTTCATTCGCCCTCGCGGATTGAGTCTGTTCGCCGCCACCCGAGTGGCCTTTATAAGAAGCTGGGAACTAAAAACAATAATTTTGGTTTACAGCCCTTTATAATAACATGCGCTGGTTGATATTTACAGAAGTCTGAAAATATTTAAAGACTTCAAAGTTCAACTATTAGAACGGTTCAAGACTCTAAGCAAAAAGACAGAAAACCTGGTTCTAAGAATGTGTTCGCTGTAAAAAAAATCATTGAAACGCAAATTGCACCCGACCGGACTTGAAAAAACTTATGTAGATTTTTTAGATTGATTACCTAAATCTAAACAATGAAAAAACTTATTATTGCATTCAATTCAAATAAATTTCAAATTTTGCCCACTATTTCTTATATGTGCGTTTTTTGTTGCTTTTATAAGTTTGCTTCCTTTTATAAAAACGATACAATTAAAAGTTCATCATTGGTATTGAAACGAGGCTAATGTTTGACGTATCAGCAACGAAATCAGTTATAAAATAATCAGTACCTACTAATATTACATATTACATAACATACATTCAAGTTTAAAAAGCCAAATATTTACCCTCCAATTTTGGTTCCATCCTTAAGACCTTTCTCGTAATGACCGTGAAATCCTACTGTGTAATGAAATTTGTACAAAAGGTTTGTGATGTCTTTTTCGTCGATTCCTGCCGGTAGACCATCTTGCATTCCTATAGCAAAATTAAAACATAAGTTCATTATTAATAGCTGCTGTGTGATGAATGAATATATTTTAGTCTCACCCGGAAATTTGTCGTTAATACGAATATCCTGTTTGTTGTTTCCACCTACGTGAATAACACCTTCCGAAACTGAAACAGGAGGCAACGTGGCAAATGCATTCGCAGGATTGACGGCAAGTTGCAGAGGATTTGCATCCGGATGTTCTAAAAATATAAACTGTTTAAGATAATTTGATTATTGTAATGTTTTCTCTAGACAAGGTTTCGAATTTCTCAAAAAATTCTTCAGTCAAACTTAAAACAAAAGTATGTGGAAATAATAATAAATCGACTAAATCAAACAGCTTTTTCTTGAAAAATGCCTGGACATCAATTAGCATTTTTAATTGTATGTTTTGATGTAAGAACATTTGATGAATCGTGTGTTAGATTTCAGATAAAACGTTAACGAAACACCAGTGAATCAGATTTCTTCATTTCACACAACACCCGAACATCCACTGCGTCCATGCCTAACACAAAGTAATCACAAATGCTCTATCAATCCGAAATATCTTCAGAGCTGGGGCGTTGATGCTTATATCTAAAAGAACTTTTGATATTTTGCAGGAAACTGAGTCTATAAATAATTGGATGCTTAGATTTTAGGCTGATTTTCTATGCTTATCTAAAGCGGTTTCTAAGATATTAATTTAACCTTTTAAGACGAACTTTGATCAAAACATAGCTCCAAAAGGTCTTGTATAAATTTTGAGTCTGGGATCGATATGCACTCGCCCTAAGGTTCACATACCGGAATTTGTTTCATATCGTACAGGATGTCCTAAAATTAATAATCCTCCGGTTGAAGATAAAAACGGCTTTAATTACATTTTTTCCAATGGAAAGCCCTGTTTATGGGCCTAGACTTAGAAATACACGAAGTTTCCTTGTGTCTTCCGTAAAGGTCTAATATGCCATCCACCGTGAATCATCGTGTACATTCAGTTCTATATAAAATACCATAAATACCTTGCGCATTTAGAAAACTCGTTACTGCATCTTTTCCAGTCGTTGTACGATCACCAGCAGGAAAACCCAGTGAATCACCAATAATAGGGACTTTTTCCGTACCCCCTTCCAATTGACTATTCTGGTTACTAACTTTATAGTTGCCATTCGAATTTCCGGAGTGTGGGTATGTTTGCTCTTCTGATTTTTTTAAGCCAGTTTGTTGGCCTATGGGGGTTTGATGAGTGGTTCCACTATCTCCAACAGATCCACTGATGCTAGTTCGGCCAACTTCTGAACTCGTTTTTATGCTAGGACTGTTATAGTTCGTTGTTTGTGGACCAACAGCCGATTTATACACGTCTACATTTTGAGAGACTTTGCTGACAACTTGAATTGGTTGGACACGATCAATTTGATCTAGTGAATAATTGATGAGTTAGTTAGTGTTTTGGATAAGAAGGCTATTCCTAATTATTTCCTGTTACCTGCTTGCGTAAAGCGATTTTGTGGAATTTCGCCTTTTTGACCTCCAACGTTATTTAAAATTTGATCCTCTTTCCCTCCACTACTATTGGCGGGGTCAAATGGCGTTAACACATTTGCAGTATTTTGATACTGGGTGGGAACAATTGGTAAATTATGTTTTGCTGAAATTCAATTTTGAATAAAAAGTTATTTCGTCCTGCATATCTGAGAAATGTTGACCAGGCAAAAATTCTTAATTTTCTCACCTGCAAATCGCTGAGTAGGAATTAAAGATTTTTCTAATGGTGCAGGTTTCGGCGTTGATATAAACCCACAACTAGCTGCAAACATGTAATTAGTATTTGATGTCAAGTAGCTATTTTCGTGCTCAATTATGTCGACTGGATTTCAATCATCGTATAAATATGACAGCCATCTGATTTGATATAAAACCGACAATTTTCGACATAGATGTGTTCCTTCTGGTACAACAAACATGTCGTTTGTGCAATTTGAATAGTTCAATGTAATAATGATGGAAATATTGTTCAATTTTGAACTTCAATTCAGAAATAATACAGTTTTGAAAAAAATTTATTTGAATTCTAATTAGTGATGACTATCTGCTTACCACATGCCGGTCTAATTGTAGGCTGCGTAGTAAATTGAATTTGATTTTTTACGTTTGCAGTGCTGATAACTGGTTGGGGCACTGAATGAGGTAAAGATATAGGATTAGGTTCCTGAGACTGTATTGGTTGTGGTAAAGAAGCACTGGGCTTCTTAAGATATTTCGTCGCTTCTGGGGAAATTTCCCCTTTGAATGGTGATCCGTCCAGTGCTATAGATAGTAATTAATTATTGTATTAATAACATACTGTTTAAACTGAGGCAATAAATAGAAACAAATATTAAAGAAGTAATAGTGTATTATATATCTAGGTCGAGAAGTACGCTATTATATACCGAGCACTTTTGCGAGCTATTAAAAAATAGCCTTCTCGACCGAAGAATATGGAATATGTATAGAATTTTTTACTACTAACACAAAAGGTGACGTTACAGGACAAGAGGGAGAATAATCGTTCGGTTAAATGCCAAAAAACCTGTTTCTTTTTAATGGCACCTACTAACTTTGTTGGGCTTGTTCAGTTTGTTTTTTTTTAGTTCATAGTAAAAAGAAATATTCTTTCCATTAAAAAAAACTGACATGGTGGCATTTTTCTATGATAATTTTTGTAGGCTGCGTGCACGCAAAAGATAGGTTGCAAATTGTAAAATTCAAATTTCGTATATGGATATTGCTAAATTTGATGTTATTTAAATGTGATGCTTTATGTTTGTTGAAAATTATCTATTTTATAAATCAAATTATATTACTTACGAGCACTTATCCGAATATTTCTCATGCTTAAAATTTTGAAGCTTCCATTTTCATCTGTAGCATAGACTGTTACGTGGTATATTCCATCTGCTGTGATAAAACCAAACTCGCCTTGTATAATACCCTTTTCATCTGGAAGGAATAAAAGTGTCAAAATTTATGTATCCAAGTTTTCGCTAAGTGAAAATGACGAAAATTGTTTGACAGAAAATCTGTATTTGTAGAGTCATGTTTTCCCTCATGTGGGGTTGACATTATCTAGCTAGAACAATTGTGTATTTTCGAATACGACTAACTAGAAGGATAAATTGAGCAAATACTAAATACAAATTTAAATACTTAAACAAACGACCCACGCCATCCTTGATAACATAACACTTGTATAATCAACCAAATATCAACACACAAACTATATTTCTTCATAAACTTGATGTTCAAAAACTGTATTGCCCTGGAAATGAGGCATTTCAATTTCGTTGTAATGGAACAGTTCACTTTAAAATCTTCATAGACATTGAGTAGTATTGGTATCAATATTTTTAAGGGGCTAAAGACCTTACGTGAAGAGTAAGGGGCAAGAATCTAAAAAAGACTGCAGGATCTCCACTTAAGGCTTATTACCTCTTAAAAAAACTTAAAAATTTAAACTGTAAAATTTTACAGCAAGTAAGCAAATAATCATTTGTTGTACCTCGAAATTGGCCTAAATTAGCAGCAACCATACATCCAGACTTGATGACAACAATGTCAGCCTTACAGCTTATTTGTGGTCAGCTTATAAATTGTGATTTTTTTAAACTAAAATGCATGCAATTTTTTTAAATGCCTCACGCTTAATTTCCTTAGAAACACTCTAAATTGTAAAAAAAATTATGTATAAGAAGGAAATTGATTCTTTTGAGAAAGCTGAAAAATAAGTATTATTTTTAGGATGAGTATTTTTATCTAGTAAGTATCTAGTAGTAAGTGTCTAGTAGTAAATATTCTACTATCTACTAAATATACGTTATGTATGTTTTCGTGAGAAGCTTGTTTGAAAGATAAACGCTTCTCAGGTGGGAGGAGTAAAATTAAATACATACCTATAATAATAAAATAGGAATACCTATAATTTTGGTCTTAATGTGTGGAATTTTTGACTTTTTAAAAGAGTTATCAAACCAGACTAGTTTGGAAACCCTAGTTTTTGCCGAAGATAACCGGAAAACGGTAAACCTTTTAACGGCCAAACAAGATACGATTAAGGCGTAAAATTCGAGTTATAGAAAGTGTAGCACAGTCAAAAAATATACGGCTACATACCTTTCTTTTCATGTCTATGTTGCTGACCATCAATCGTAAAGCCGAATTCATATGGACGTCCTTCATCTGATTTCTCTAAGGCAAAAGTATAAACGGCGCTTAAAATTGCAACCAAAAGTCCAACCTGAAAGCAACTTTTATTTCATCATTATTTCAAAACAATTGGGATAACTTCAGCATAAAAATAATATTCAGAATTAGATAAATAATGGTAAAATTAGAACCGCATGAATATAAAATAAGAAACAGAACACGAAAAAACCTGCATTACGCTATAGAGTTCCTGGCTTTAGATAGGCTATTTTTTCGCTTGGAATTATCTTAGATAATAGTATTTTGCACTTAAGTATAAATCACTTTCCTCCAAGCCTGTAGCTTTTGAATAAAGTCAAATTAATGAAAATTTTTCTGATAAGTTTGATTTCAAGTTTTCTTTTTCTGATCTGATTTTAGCTTCACATTTTATTGTTTGCGTTCGTAATTAAATCTCCGCAAATAAATCCGAAAATATTTTACTTTTACTTTTCCTAAAAGCGCATATAAAATGTTCTGTTCATCCACTTATTTTAAAATATAAAAATTACCCAAGAAAAAATTGAAAACAAAATTAACGAAGTTCTGCCCCATCCCCTAAAACTCAAAAAAAGCTAAAAAAAAATCTAAATATTACTTGCTTGTTATTCAAAGCCAAATTTTAAAAAATCAAAATGAAAATCATGGTCCACGCTATGAAAATGTTATAAAACAATTACAAGCAAATCTAATTAATATATCCGAAAATATTCCAAGCCAAAACTCCTTATCAGCAACATTGAGTAATAGACGATTTCAACATTACGATTTTCAAAACTGATTAAAGTGACTACCTCTACCTACTTAAAATAGAAATTGAACAAATTGTTCCCCTAGAACGGTCGAAAACAGCTTCAGAAGAAGACGAAGTCATCATTTTCAGAAATGAGATAAAAAAGAATCGGCAACATAAATCAGGAAAATAAATAGAAAGGCAAGGCAGAAGCAAAAGCAGAAAATTCAGATTAAAAGACGACGGGCTTCGAAATAGCAGACTAATTTTCCATAATAGGAACTATATTTGGGTGTTAGCCGCAAGTACTGATGAATTATGCCGGAAGAATAAGCATGATGATGCAAGAAACAAATGTCTTGTACGCAATAAATTTGGAAGATATATGTGGTATGGTATCGGAACCAACCGAAACATACTTTTTATAGTCCAGTGACGTACTTTTAGGTCTTTGACACCTGATGATGGTTATAATATAAAATAACGAAAACGCGTCGTTTTTTGTGGTTCAATGAAATAAAAAAATATTTAATTATAAAACCAAAAGCATTAGCCATTTAGGACGTACAAACAATTACTTATCCTCCTTTATTAAACCGTAATCGAAACACAAATACTAAAAGTCAATTTGGATACCGATACTTATTAATAAAGATGTATTATTTTTAAAAGTCAAATTTGAAAAGTTTCAATGCCAACAAACATCTTAAGACCAATCCCTGTATGCAGTTAAAAATGAATTAAACATGTTTTCGTTAGTTGTGAAAGAATTGGAAAACAGACATTCAATTACAAATTTTCATTCCACTTGAAGAAATATAAATTGTTTAATTGTATAATGTTTATACACGCTATAGAAGATTAAAGAAATATTGTACTGAATCTTTTTTACATCTTGCACTCGATCCTATCCATGTGCGCAGGCGGGTTTCCAAAGCTGAATAATGTTTGTTTGAATAGCTAGTTTGGCGCTGAATTTGGTGAACATTTATTTCCCGAAAATGACTGCAGGTCAAGAAGTAGCTCTTTTCTTAATATAAATGGGGCTGTAATAACCTGTATAACTAACCCAAACTAACCCAAACTAGCTTCAATCAGAATAGCCAATATGTAGTAATATATTTTATCTAATGTGTTTTACCTGCAGCAGTATTTCCATCTGGACAACCAAGAACTCGGAGTAAAAAACTTTTTCTTTTTGCACTAATTGTTGTAAATAAACTGTGCACGTAATTGAGTTATGGTTCTGTGTTTTACTAAGTAATGTGATAGCAATACATTTTGGGACTCCTTCAGCATATATCTACACTCCCGCCACAACGATCTTACTGAATATTAATTTCCAACGAGGTTATAAAACTTGGATTATTTGTCTATGATATATCTCCATTTTCACAATAAAGTCCCACCCTTGTGTTTGAATTATCACTATTACCGCTCTTTAAATAGCAAATGGAAGTCCTAGAATGCAGTACATGGTCAATGGTAAAATTTACAATTTCAACTTGCAACAGTCTGAAATAATTTTGGCATGATTTAGTTTGGCAAAAATCATCCATTTATAAATTAATTTTTGAAATTTTGCTTAACTAACATTCTTGACGAATTCGTTGACATAATATTGCGGATTCTACAATTGTATTATCGTTGCTGGCAACAATAGTAAAGATCAACGACAAATTAGCAAATAAAATCATCTGCATCCTTGAATACGCCTTTCGTTAGCACAGTGTGATTGAAAATTACACATCTTTACTATAATATGAAGCTCCGCATGATCCTCCGGAAGTAATCAGGAAATATAGGTAAGCATTATGTTCAATGTATTTGCATTGAATTTTTATTTCCGTTATTAATGAATATACATTATGCTTCTAAAATTGTAAATATTTCTTGAAAAATGATCTTAAATCAAATATAATAATATAAAAACATAATGCAATAAATATTAACTTATTCGCTAATTTCTTGACAACACATTATTACCATCAAAATAAAATGAACTAAAATTATGATTTAGACTACTAGCAATCGCACATATAACTAAATCTATTTCAAGGTTAATATGTTTGCAGCTATCAATAGAATGAACAAAATGAACATTTTTGTACTTTAATAATGTCAAAATATCTGTAAAGTTTCAATAATTACAAAATGATCGAATCCGAAACTTGGTTTCATCATTGGCGAAAAGGGCGTTTAAGGTCTATTCGCCATACTACCGCCACTACTACTACTACTACTCGTTTCATCATTGAAAATCTAACTATGCATAATTAGGTTGCTTCATATTTTGAAACTAAGTAAATATGGAAAAGTACATATTTGCTATTGCTTGTAATTGACCTCGATCATGTGATGAAGTGTAATCATCACTCAACTTTAAAAATAGAAAAAATAAGGTATTATGAAACAAGGCTAAAAATGATTAATTTTGTCACTTCATTATTTAGTTGTGCCTTTGAATACAACTAAAAAAGATTAGTTATTAAGTTTCACCAACTGTGGCATATTAATGTTTTTCAAACAAGTGATTCATGATTGAAGTAGAAATATTATTTCCGTTCCATTTATTCCATATTATTAATCAATATTTCATTGAGTAGCCACTCATTCATTAGAAGCAAGACAGATAGGACTAGCAAAATTTATGTAGTTTCACACTAGAATACTCCCTATATCCGTACAGCAACTATCACGAACAGACTTCTACCGCTTTTCAGACAAGAAACTGTGAGTTTCCCGAATGCGTATGGAAAATGATTATTTTTTTTATGAAACTTTCACTTGCATTGTTTATGAGTTATTTATCCTGTACAAACAAACAAGTGCAAAGTATTTGGAAACACAAAAAAATTTAATTTATTGATATTTTTAAAGTGCGCCCTTTCCAGTTCCACTTTGTACTTCTAAGATTATCATAATTATCATATTTTATTAATTAACAGCTACAACTCCTCAATGTCAGTTACGGAAGTGCCATCAGCTAATAATCAAACATGATTGTTTACTAGTATAGCAAATTTATGCATGAGTAAGAAAATGCGAGATAAATATTAATCTGAGACAGCTTGTTGACTCGGCTGAAAACTAATTTTTTTTTAAATCTCTTCAGTTAACAGCCGAACAATGAATCATGAAAAGAGCGAACAAGCAAATGATTAAATAATCATGTTTATTCAGTACTTCGATGCCTTTTTTTTGAAAGGGTTTATCAATATTCAGTTTGCTACCGACTGTGGACGAAATCGGTCAATAATCCTTTGTCTCTCAATAATCATTGTGACCCTTATAGCAAGTGCAAATGTAGTTTGTGAAAGTGTAGTGAAGAAGTCTTTTTACGGATTTATGGGTAGAAAAGTTAAAGCGGATGGGGCGCCAGCTTGCAGAAAACTGTTAAGAATGATCTCTAATGTAAGCATTTTCTTGTTTCAACTGAGTTTAATTTTTAAAAGTTTTACGGATTCTTTATATTTCTCTCTCTTTGCTTTGCTGATTTCAATTAAGTTTAGCTTTGGACAGATTTCCTGCTGTATTAAACACATTTTCTTCTTTCTTTCCAGGTAGCACTACGCAGCTTTCGATAAGTTTAGCATTACTTTGCCTCTGGCTTTCTTGTAAATGTAGAACTTTTAATCCCAAATTCATCAACTGTCTCGTAGGGTGGATTTGTTATCGATTGAGCTATTGGTTATATTTTAAACTTTGGGATTATTTTGGCTTTACTTTGGGAGTTGGATTTTTTTATTGTAAAGCATGCAGTTGAGAAAAGCGTTTATTTTTAAATCATCATTTACGAAGCGCACAAAACTCATTATTTTATGTGATTTGAATAAATTTTTGAAGGTTTGACAAAATTTTCACGGCATTTAGAGCGCACTCTTCTTTACTGAACGCACAACTCTGAACTTGTAGAGTATTTTTCGTTTCTGTTTTTCGTTATAACACATTCGCGTCTCACTATGTCGCACCTTGAATTACGCTTAGCATTTAACCCGTGAGCGAATTAAAGCATTACGAGGCCCGGGGCTGGAGTTTCAACACTTCACAAAAAATTCAGCAAATTTTTTAGGAGCAACATTTTACCAAATGGGTGACTACAACGCAACTGCACCGATGCCCACTAAAACCAAGTGCACTTGATTTCTATTGCCGCCAAGAAAAAGGTCAGCTTTATGTGACATTTTGCCTGTTAGTATGGCAAAGAACATCGTGAAAAAGAAGTCAATAGATCATAGATCACACATCTTTCCAATCAGGACATTCTTATATGTTATTTGAAAATTGTCTAAAAACGTTCAATTGGTTAATTTAATAGCTACTACTTTCATAAGCTTGCAAGAAATAAAATTAAGCCCAATGGAAGGAAATGTTTAATGACAATATTTGCAGGACTTCCATGAAAAAGAAGACAATTTTATCGTTCACATATCTAACATTTCACCAATTTTCGCCGACTAGTATCAATCTTTGATGCATGAAACAGAAAATGAGATAAGGGCTATCCACCAGAAAAACGAAAACTACCAAAATCGATGAAAACGCAAATAAAAACTTGGTTGTATAAATGGTTTCAGGCTACCACAAATAAAATGTTTTTTTTTCACTATTTTCTAATTATTTGTTCTCTCTAGTTTTAGTTTAATAATATTATTAAATAATGCGAATGGGGTCAGTGCTTGACTTTTTATTTAGAAGAAAAGGAGCATTTGGCAATTCAATTGTTTTATTTTGCAGTTAAATATTTTTTAATAATTTGCTCAAAAACATTGAACCTCAACAATGGCCTCAACCTGGCAATTTTCACCCACGTTTTATAATAAATTTTAAACTGTAAGAATTATTTTTTCCATTTTAAAATCTTCTAACTTTTATATGCAAATACACATGTAAAGAAGAAAACTAGGTTTAATTCATTATTGTAATACAAGTTGCGTCACTGATTACTGGTTGTTTGATTCAACAGTTCAAGGTATCATCACCTTCCTTTAATTGAAATCTTTCATAGATCGCACCATTCTCACAGGCTAAGAAACACATTTTTTTCTGGTACCGTAAGGTCGTGGCTCGCAAGAAAATAAAGTAAACAGTTTAAAGGAATCGCTCGCTTGAAGATACCTGTCGGGTTACGAACAAAAATATAAAAACTTTTTACTTTTGAAAAACGGCCAGGGTTTTTAATTTATCTTAAGACATATTTAGTGGAAAAAAATAGGAACTGTGAGTTATATAACCTTAACCACCCTGTCAGCATCAACCAAAGGCTGCTAGGGCAATTCCTATGACCCCAATAGATGGGTCAGGACTTTGCTGGGCCTATGGGTACAAAAGAGTTTTATATTCATTCTTTGTTCACAACCATCATGTGGAAGTCGTTTGTCTATTGCCGTAGTAGAAATAAATGTTTTTAAAATAATCTTGTCAAAAGCAAACAATGAAAGTTTTCTCGGCATCAAACTGAAGGAAAACAAAAATACTGATAGTTGGAAAAGCAGTAAATTTCAGATCAGATATTGACAACCTTAGCAACATTTACCAAACCCTAATAAAGCCATGACTGAATGATGATGGGACTGAACCCCAAGAAGGAAAATACTATATTAGACAAACAAGACATGACAAATGGCATAAAATAACTTTAACCTGGCGATATTATGCCTTGAGGAGGCCTAGAGGACAGCCACCAATGAGGTGGTAGTCCCAAGCAAAATAAGCCCCAAACAAAATAAGGTGGAGATCAGAATTGCAAGAGGCGTGTATCCGTATGTGGACTGAGGAACGCTATTAAGGTAGGAAGAAAGGAACAGACAACCTCAATCGCAATCTACTCTTGTGAGAATAGTAGTAGCAAATTAAAGTGATAAACAACAAATAAAGCGTAACCTGATCGACACAACGCCTTGGTGGGATGGCGAATGTTACAATAATATTATCAAACTATTGATTCATGATAAACAAGTGATTCAACATTTTTTTTAAATAATCAGAACTTATAATAAAAGTATGAATTTGCCAAACATATAATGGAAAAACACAAGTAATTATTGAAGCTAAATGTTTGCTATACATGGACTAAAATCTTTAATGTTTCTTATGTGTGGAAGAAAGTATGGGTTTTTTACATCAGTATATGATAAATACAACTATTCTTCCAAAACTACCTACTATATACTTGGATGAAATGGCTTGTCGTTATAAAAAAATCCGACGGATTAAAATTATTTTACTGCATTTTATAACAATTTTGGATGGAAGCATCTTGAAATGCATGTAAATTTTATTAAAAAAAATAGATTTACTAAGAACTTTTAAACTGAATTCCATATTTTCTTAGGAAATAACAAAGCGTCCATAGTTAAATTTTTTTCTGGACATTCAGGCGATTTTTCATTAGGTGGACGTGACAGTAAGATCGTACGATAGTAAAGCTAGAATTTAAACTACTACATAGTTATACCATATTTAACGGGAGATTTGTATTTTCCGCTTACAAGTTGATATTAGCTTATCAATATCATCATAAAATATTGACTCAAAAATATGGTCAAAGTGATAAGTGACATTATGGTGGGCAGATTTCGATATTTTAAATGGCAACTTCGATAACTAAACGAGATACGAAAAAATTAACCTTTCATCTCTGTTTTTGTGTTAAACTTAATGGCAAAAATTAATAATTAAATTGGCTTCAAGCAAGGCCAATTTTTTCTCCTTCTACTATAAAATGACCCATCGTGTATATCATTTTGTCACTTTATGCCGCTTTGTGACGCAAATGTTATCACTTTGGGCCCTATAGACAATCGTCGGCCTTGCATAATATATCATAATATATGACAATTGAAATTTAAATCTAGCATATAGGATGAACGACAGCAATTCTGTAAATCTGCTTTATGTAATGCGCCATTATCTATGCAAATTCGAAAAATACTGTGATGTTACGATAAATAATGTTATTTATGACTGCGCTTAGGTATGTTACGACACTCGATTATATAAATGAAAGTATCCTGACAAGTTGTAAGATTACTTAGAAAATCTCTCATGACCTGCGTCTTAGTGTGATTGTAAATATGCAGGGAGTGATTCTTATTATTAAATTACAACCACATGGGAGGCATAAAAAGAACTATTTAAATGATGTTGCGGTTTAATAGTGATGGTGTTGGTAGTTGATACATGATGCCTATTTAGGTCTTGTTGGGTTTATCGGTCAATAGATTATGGAAAAAAATATAACACTATTTTTCTTGGGCCGTTTCGTCTATATTTGAGCTATCTTTAGGAGTCTACAGGGCAAACAGAATAGCTTAAGTCTTAAATGTAGTAAAAATAATCACATAGGCGTCAATTAATTGAACTAATTTAGTAACTAATATTAAATAGAAGAAAAGAGTACCCAACAGAAGAGTATAATCAAATATAAGGTACAAAGGACAAAATCATAATAATTCAACATTAATTTAGATAAACAAACAAAAATAATGCATTGGAAGAAGGCGAAAGCACAAATTAGGTAACTCACCAATGAAGTTGGTGCATTTGCACAGAATGCACTGAAAGCCTAACATACCGTTAGAGGTAGATGTATTTTTAGAATGATTAAGTCTGTATTCATATAAAATATGCTTATTTTAAATAGATTAATACAGGAACCGAATATATGCGTTTTCTGGCTAAAGAAAGACGCTACGTGGTTTACAACCTTCTAATAATAATATTTCCAACTTTAAGAAAAAATAACACGAAAACACTGGTGAAATGCACAAGTGTTAAAATGGAGATGCAGTTTAGGGGTTGAAAACGGTTTTTTGCGATGATAAAATTTACCTGAAGTTCTGTAAAAGTATGTCTTTCTTACTGTTGAAAAAGCATGAATTTTTTCAGAAAACGACTACTTTTCGAGGTATGTACATTTCTGAAAGGGAATGAGGATAAGAACGAGTACAACCGATGACATAGAAACTAAGTCGCCCGTAGTCGACAAAAAATCCAACGGTGTGCGGACATCATGAGTACAGAATAGGAGACAAGCTCATAAAGACCTTAAATAAATAAAGGTCTTGTTGTGCTGTGCGGATGATGCGGCACCGTTTGCGAATAATTAACACGAACCGGTAATGGGAACTGCATATAGCAGAAAGGTTCAGAAATTCTAATTTTAAATATCAACCACCAAAATCGTGTTAATGCAAGTTAGAGCTAAATTACATAATAACCGAACAATTATCCGCATTTTTCTCCATTAAGTTACTTGATGGAGTGTGTAGAATTCCACATAAGTAGGGTAAAACATGACGCAGTCCGATAATTGGGAAAATGTGTACTATTTGAGCCAGTTGCCCAAGTCAAGAACATGCTAACAGTCTATTCTTGCTGCTCAAAAAAAATCGTGTCAATATTGCTATAGACTTAAACCGTTTCTCGGGATATATTGTAATTTACAGAGGTGCGTCATATGCCCCATAAGTTTAGGGTAGATGACGCACACGTCTTTTGAAATTGTTAAACCCAAAATATCAATATTTTACACCGTTTGGAAGAGTACAAGATGGCAAAAGGCACAGCAGGACTTGACGAGAGCTGTGATAGCTGTACTTCAAAATATACTCTTGATAGGCCACTACGATCACGCTTAGCAAAACAACAATTCATCAAAGTGAATAGTAGGGGCAGAACATTCTCTTTGGGCGAACAGTGCAGAAAATTGACAAAAAACAACACCGACCAGACATCGCAGTATCCTCTTTTGCTGAATAAAAACCTGAGATGCTGCAGGGGAAGACCTCCAAAATAAAATTCCGTATTTCAGACGCGAAAATGCCTGGGCATGATAAATGGACAACAGTTGTTTGTCTGTAAAATAAGGTTTTAGTCTGCGAATCAGGAAATAGTATGAATTTAAGCTCGCACATAGACAATTGCAATGCCTTAAGCATGCTTACAGTTTTGTCAACATTAACCACGAGAAACTTAATGCTCTGTACTCTTCACCTGTACTCCACTGGAATTGTACTGTGTTTCAAACTCCTTGTAGTTAATGGTTATATTACAACGTTTCGGTTTTCCGTCAATTCTAAAAAAACTTTATTGCATACATAGGTACTGAAAAGCTGCCGAAATGCATTACTCCATTGAGCTTGAATTGTGAAGGTCCTCGTTTCGTTCGTTTAAATTGTTGGATTTTCGTAATTATGATGTCAAAGCCAATATCTAATTAACAACCAGCAAGCTACAGTGTTACTTAAGATCAAATTTTCTATTTCCCTTCAAAATTTTAAGCAAATGGGTGCATATTGCAGTTGAAAATTGCGTTGAAAATAATGCATTGAAAACAGTATCTATTTTTTGTCACACAACAAAATTAAGCCATGGGATGACATAAACTATAACAGACCCATAAACATACCTAGTTTATATAAAATATTCACATAAATTTAAATACATTTTCATAATATTGTTATGCAACTGAATATATTCCTAAAGGCAAGCAACACTTCAAATAACGGGATTTATTGCTCATTCAAGGTCGACATCAGCTCATCTTGATTATTGACATTTAAAAAAGTAGACGATATTGAAAATCGGTATTATGACGCAATGCTTTTACTTGCTATTCAATAATATGAATCTCAGTTCGGATAATTCAAGTTGCATCAAATTAAAAAAAAAGTTTTCCACAAAGGTTAAAGAATGATGTTATTAAGAAATGCAATTTGCAATTGCTAAATCTATTACATTCAAGCAGAAAACTAATCGTGTAAAACGTAAAAAAGCAGTTAATTTTAAAATTACGAAATGTTCAGGGATTTATAATTTTATGCGAATTTTAAGAAGCTGAGGATATTTAGGAGCCGTTTAAAACAAACCCTTGAAAAAAACATACAGGAGAAGGTAATTTAAAACTGGCTTTAGTCCTTTTATTAGGTTGCGACGGGTTACCTAAAAACCATTGCCATGATTTTTCACTTTAATTCATTTCTAAAGGTATTACATCTTAAATATGCAATTTATTGCATTGCTTGTATTAGGCAATATTTTAGATTTATCAATTGCCATTTGGCAGACAAGCACACTATCAAGAAAATATCCCAAAACGATAATGAAAAAAACACATTTTTGAATGAAACCCAGTCAGTATGAGTTCAAAAAATTGAAGAATTCTTCACAATAACTAAGCAATTTTTTTAATGAGTGAAAATATAAATGAAAAAGCTTTGTTACGGCACACGCAAAGTGTTAACAAATACCGACGATACCGACAATTTTTGTTGGATATTGTGCACTATTCTAACATATCCTCATGTTTCCTCATGAGTAATAGGCATTTTCAAACTGTTCAGCACAAATAGCATACATTGATTGCTTAAATTTTACATTGTTCACTTTTTGTTACGCAGGGTTTTTAGGTTTTTAATTTGGCAAGCAAAGTTGATCTAATGTCTGTTTAGGTAAACAGATGCAGCAAAAGTAAATATGTCAACCTTTCCAGTTTGTAAATTTATTTTCGCTGGTTGCAGTTCGATGGGATACGGGATTATATTCACACCTGCCCGTTTCTGAACCATCATTATTTAGCAACAACAAGCCACAACACATGCATTGTGATACTTCTCCTCCTCGTCATGGCAGTTTAACGGAGGCAATATGAAATAACTTACGTTGCAGTTGCTCCGATTTTTTTTCATACCAAAGCTTCACAGTTTTTCATATTGCTTGTATGTCCAAGCCTCGAGCACTTTTGCCGTGATATTTTGTATTGTGTTGAAAATGTCGTGTTTTGGGATTTCGAACGCCTCTTAGTTTAAACAATGTTAAACTGGGAATAGTATTTTTCGGAAATCATTTGTGCAGTATTATTCCATAGCGTTTGCACCACACTCTCCTTATAGTCGCTGGCATGTTGTTTATTCATATTATACAGGGTGATTCAAAATTGGCGTCATTCCTTTTAAGGGGTGATAGAGGCTTCCTTGGGGAGTACGAGAAAAATATTGAAAATTTTTTTTTCGAAAATTTCTAGAAGATATTTTGTTATTAAGCATTATTTTGAAATTGTTCCATGTTAAATTTGTAGCATATTGGAATACTTAAGCATTCAAAAGGAAAAATTATGATCTTTGCTTTACATTACGAACATTTTTTATATCAAAAAAGTTCTAATCTACAATTTTTTGATGAAAAGGCACAGCGGCAATGATGTTCTTTGTCATTAACAGATAGTCACAGGTGGATAGCCCTCGTCAATAATAACAATAATTTGTCAAACTGTGACTTACTTTGAACTTTCTTTCACGAATTTGCGGATATGCGATTAGTTCAGGGGAAATGCTACAGTAACATAGCAGAATCTGGAAGAACTCACGCCAACAAAGGGCGAGGAGAGTGGTTCCAGGAAGATAGTGGACGACAATCGATGTTCGGGTTTCAGACACAGAGGAACAAGTATCGAACATAATCGAATCAGGGCCTTCCAGGGGTACTCAGAGCACAATAACTGACACTTTCCCAAATACCAAATAAATACAGAGGAAGGGCTACATTCCTACCACGTTTGTACGATAAACACAGCACAGGGAGATACAAATGGAGCAGAAGTTAATCAACTAAATTACGAAAAGCTGCTTGATAAGAGTGGATAATAAGGAGATTACAGAGGCACTAGCTTGTTTGGAGTTAACCATTCAAATGTTTGGTGTTGTACGGTTTATTTATAAACTCCAATTTAGAAAGGTTTTGAGAACAGGTTGACATTTTGAAAGTACGTTCCGTCATTCAACGATTCCTGTTGAGTTGACCGTCTATCCTTGTCTATCTTATTGTCACTGTATAATTCCATGGTTACAGGAGTTTTAAATAATTACGGAGCAACAGGTATTTGCCCAATGTTAATTAGGCAGAATACCTTGAAAAACATTGCTGCCGTATCTCTGATATAGTTTTTTGCAAATTGCTCAGTTTTTAATAACAACTAATTTCTTTGACTATTTTTTCTGTACTCCTATAACAGCGCCAGGCAACACAGACACAGGAATGACGCCAATTTTGAATCACCCTGTATGCCCACTCTGCAAGTACTATTGATAAAATCGTCTATGGAGGTGTTTTGTTGCAATTCGTAATTCGGGGCTTGCAGAAATTGTTGAGAGAATGGAGAAGACGAGAGTTTCTTCGAATTTCTGCCTCGCAGTCTCCATTATTAGTTATGGTGGACACTAGTTAGTTAAATCTGTCCACTAGTTCGTACTCGTTTAAACGATTAGTTAATTGAAAGGTGTTAACTTTATCGACTACCATTATTTTGGTATTGTTCTTGTTGATCTTTAAAGCGACTTTGTTGCTCTCGTGCTCTAATCTTAATTTACTGATAATCAATAGAGCGGATGGTTGTACAGGGTGATTTAAAACACAGAACATTAATTTTATGACTGTATTTTAGGTCGAAAAATATGAAAAAAAGTTCTTACAAACATAGGTTCGCAAACAATTACTTTTCAAAACACAGGGTGTCAAAGTTTGAACATTTTACAAATTTTTCCTTATAGCACCCATAGTTATAGGTACAGATATTTGTTTCAAATTTAAAACAGCTAATTTATTATGGTCTAGAGTCTAGAGTTTTAGACATGCTTTAGACAACTAATTAATTTTGTCAAATTCTACAGTTTTTATTCCACTTCAAATTTTTCTTGGGTGGCGCTACTATTAATAAGTCTTAGTATAGATTTGCATTTAAATTCCTTTATAATTTTTTATATGTTCCATTTATAATTTTTTCAATTGCAAAAGTATCAGAAAAAACACAACGTTTTGCATATTCACAATTTGTTGATAATCTTCATTGAGCCTTGAAGATGGCTTAACTATAGCCGAAACGTTAACCCAAGAAAAATAGTGTTTTCATTTTCTGTCACAGACTGAGTATGTAGAACATGACTGCATAGTCTGGCAACAATTATTCTTCGATGTTTTCAGTCAGGAGCCTCTCAATCTCCATTAAGCCGTTATTGTACATAATTTCTAACGTTCAGTTTGTGTCATTTTTCCCAATTGTGTTTTATTGAAACTGTAGTAATACATATTAAATCGGATTTCGGTAAAACCAGTTTCATCTGATGACAATAAAATTACTATCAAAAGGTTAAAATTGTTGCATATATTAGAATTAAACAACAAATCCATAACTTGGGTAGTAGGATTCAAAACATATAAATAGAAATCGAGATTAGGAAAAAATTATCAGTGCAGTTTGTGTTAAACATCAATCACCCATCAAGATGAAATTAGTAAGTCTGAAGCAATTTTCCTATTAACCTAGTCAACACACTTTTTATACTTCCTTTTTCTTAATTATTTGTAACCTTTTTTCAGATAGGCATATTTTGCAAATATTTACACATTTCATTTGTGTGTCTGAAAAGCACTAATCAGTTTATGAGCTTATGCGTTGGAACGTAATATGTAAATATCACAGCAATAACTATTGACAAATTCTACTTTCTGGCAATGTAATATATAACATGGGTGTATGCGTTCGCTGGTAGAACTGTATGAAGTATATTTAGTTATATATTTATCAGAAGTAATTACGAGAGCAACAAAATGCATAGACATTTTTACTTGTAAAAATAATGATTTTTCTGCAGTGTTCCATAATACCAAAAATGTCAAATTTGCACAGTTCCGGGTAAAGAATCCTACCAATATTTGATTGCCAGTATATAATGAATTGCTGAGCGTATTTAGGGGACATGAGCCTTGATCTCCCAGAGGAAGAGTATTATTTGCATTTAGATCTATATCAGTTCATCTAGTAGTTATATTTCGGTTAAATGCAATGGAGAAAATGTCAGTGCTTGTAATTTTATATTGCCTCGCCAAAGATCTAACGGTTTGAAGGTTGGCATTCTAGTATAATACTGCGCTATATACGCATGATATTAACTTAAATCATGTTAATGCAGGTTATTGCCCTATTCGCCTTAGTTGCTGTAGCTGTAGGAGCTCCACCAACTCCTGAGTCCCAAGCGCGGGTACTCAAAAATGAGGTCGACAATATTGGAGTTGATGGATATAATTTCAGGTATATTTTTAACTTTTTGAATTCAGAAAATTGATTTTGTTATTGAATTATTCATTGGCATTTAGAAAAACATTATTCGAGAATATGTTCGATAATGTAACGGTCAGACGGATTCATATTTTCAAAACGTTTTTGTTGAGTTGGGGCTTGAAAATGTTGTTGCTTTTTCTTATTTTTTATATATATTTTTAATATTTACAATCACTAAATTTATATCGATACAAGATCTGAAATTGAAAATTGGTTTTTTTCAAAATGTGCAAACATTTTATTCTTTTAAAATTAATCGTATTATTTTCAATAAATGAAGACTTTCAAAGTTGTTATTACATAGTTACATTAAAATGCATCTATAACAAGAAATTAACCTTCTGCTACAAAGAAGAAATTAATTTTATCCGTTACAAAACGTTTACAGTAGAACCGGTTAAACATAAGGTTATAAATGATAATACTTTCGCAGTATTAGAAAAGGGTATGAAATACTTCCTCTAAATATGAACGTTGTCTCAAAATGTTATTTTTGAGTAGTACAACATAGCATTGGCAAATTATTAGCAGACATATCTTAGAAAATAGCAAAAGAAAGACATTTTATTACATTTACCAATCTTATTGAATTGAAAACACCCATTATTTAACGTTCTACTTGAAAATGAAAATCGGAATTACAGCCTCAGAAAAGCTGTGCTTTAGCTAGTTGTTGATACAATATGGTAAAATCAAACTATCTTAAGGCAGTTGACGCAAAAATCAAAGCACAAAAGTTGCGAACAATAATGTTGCTAAAATGATCATCATAAAAGGTAGAAAAAATCACATTAGCAGCCGCAATTTCAAGTTGAATTATTAGAACAATAATGTTGGCACAATCTAAACGGTTTATACAAAGGGTTCACTTTTTCATTTTCTTGATGAAATAAGTTTCGAATATGCATTAAACTAATATTTAATTCAATAAACTAGACCTGAATTCCAAACACCCTATATAAACATATATTATCCTAAAGCAAAATGTATTTTAATAACAATTTTTAAATTCACAATTTTGCATACATTTACTATTGTAGATGAAAAGGGATTGGTCAAAATTCAGTCTGCACTTATACAATATACAATATATTTCTGCTTTTTGTTCAAATCGCGTATAAATTTAGTACGTGTTTCAAATCTTAATTTGATTGATAATAATGTTAAGCTTTAACCAGAAGTTATATATAAGAATGTGTTTAAAATTTCTATACGTTTTATACTCACAAATCACGTAAATTTAATATTCTAAAAATGTTTCCCACAAAGAGTCACAATATTTTGGTTTCACAGCTAAATCTCAAAAATTTTTAAACCGACAGCTATCTTAAAATACTAAAAGAATTGTCTCAGTTTTAAACACTGATTTGTGAATATAAATATGTGCGATTTTTTAAAGCTTTGTATAACATTTCCAGAAAAACATCTGCAATATTTAATAACCAGTTATAAGCTAAATTAATTATTCAAGTTTTGAAGTTATACCTACAATTGTACAGAACTCAATCGAGTTAATAATTTCATAATAAATTCGTATTTATTTTTCCAGCTAAATAGTTCTATAAATAGTTGAATGTGAAAACAAATTTCAGTTACGAGACTAGCAACGGAATTTCTGCAGGAGAACAAGGACAAGTCGTAAACGCTGGGTCTGAAAATGAAGCTATTGCTGTCCGTGGCCAGTTCAAATATACTGGTGCAGACGGAATTGTTTATTCTGTGAGCTATATTGCTGACGAAAACGGTTTCCAGGCTGAAGGAGCTCATTTACCAGTTGCACCATAGTGATATATTGTTTAAGCTAGTTATAACACAGATCAATAAAAAGTTAAATAGCCGACTAGACGAATTTTTTCATTACTATATAAAATGCCATCCACTGTATATGGCCACAATAGCTGCCATTATCTGAAACAGTGCTTGTAAAAGCACAATACAATTTCATGTAGCGCATTAAAAAATGGTGATGCTAAAAGATTGCTTCGAACTTCCATTGCATCAACAAAAATGTTGGGCTTGTGTGTTATATGACTTTACACAGCAATTTTCCAGCACGACTTGTAGGAGGATTAAGATACATTAGCTTGACACTACCCAACGCCCGTAACTAATTTTTGTGTCTATATTTTCTAAGAAGTGCGATAATATACAGTCATAAGCGCCATTTGTTAAGCAAAAGTTAGTATGGTCAACTACAATGCATGACATATTGTAGCTTGGATCTGCATTAAATCACTTTAATTTAGTTTACAATTGAAAACATCGTTTTAATATTTTTAATACGTTTCTAGCGGTTTCATGCATGTTTTAACGAATTCTTAGCAAATATTCCGAGTACTATGTGGTGTATTGGACACTCATTGATGACCTAAATTATTAACAGATGCGCAATCGTAGCAAAAATATTCGCTAAGAATTATTTTTAACAAATGGACCTTCACCTGATGCTGACTGAAATATAACACTTCTACTAAAAACAAAATAATGTTGAAAATAAGTGAGACTTGCCAAACTGATAATGGTTTTTTACTTTAACGTAACGGACTTTTCAGGTTCAGGTAGGAGTTTTGCCAGAATAGGTAGTGGTTTTGCGGCTGAAAAATTAAGCATGATGTTGGCTTTGTCCAGGTATGTATGGATAGAACAGTCGAAAGCAGGCTGTTGTCATGACATTTTGCCAGCGTAAAACACTCTAGTCATAGACGTACATGTCATTTTTTACAAAATCACGAGCCGAAATGTTAATCACGCAATTGCCAAGCAACAATCTTTCATAATAATGGAAATATTTTGCATTTTGTTGCATTGTGTGTTATAACTGAGCATTTCACTCATCCATAGTAAGCCATAGAATAAAGAAGATATTAATAAACAGCAATTAGCAAATATTCAAGAAAATTAAAGTGATAATTTCAGATGCATCAAGAGAAAACAGAAATAAATAAAATAATTATGAAATCACGAAAAAACACGGACTGAACGTGGATGTGAGTACGTCTGAAAATATAGCAGGTATATGACTATACTCCAGACATTGAGAGCATTAATACGAAATTAGTGAAATACTTCATTGATATTTTACAGCTCCGTTATTCCATATAATTAATATTATATTCCTCACTGGAAAGGTGCTAAGTCAGTTAAGTTTGGGTTACAGTAGTATAGCGGGTGATCCAAAGTTGGGGCGATTTCATTGGGGATGTTGTCTGGGTAAGTTTAGGGACTACAGAAAAATAGAAAAAAAATTCTTATCAAGAACAGAGATAAATGCAAAAAACTAGATTAGAAGGTCGGCAACATGGTTTTTCAAGGTAATATGCCCACTAATATTATTTATATACGTCCCATCAAAAACTCAGGTGCGAATTAATTAGGCTATGGTAACCTGTAAATGTCAACAGTACCTCCTATAGAAAGTTAGGTGAAACATTATAGTGATTGGCTGTGAAATGAAATCCTTAGATATGAATCTCTGCGTTTGACAAGAACCGTTTTGAACTGTTGGTAACTCACAAGAGTTGTTGGAAGTCCTGCCCGTTAAACTCCTAACATGTTAGTGCCGTGAAATCAGCAGCATTTCTGGGATCGCACATCTTCTTGTATTCGGTTAATCAACTCCAGCTCAATTTGTACGGGTGTTTGGTAGGCCAGGGATTTAATGTGCCTTTGTGCCTTGTGTATCTTACATGCATGGTACATGGTAGAGTGCATTTCCTAATATACCTCGTATACAACTCGAAAACAAAACAATCTAATGATTGCGTTTTAGGTTTTGATCCAAGCAGAATTTTTAATGAAGAATGACCTTTTCCTTAAAATGAATCATAAAAAGTTTCCCATATGACGCTAACTCAAGTAGACGACAGTGTATACCTATAACATGTAATAGAGAGGGTTCAAAAATAAGATAAAACGTGGGCTTCGAAATTCCATAATCGTTCGTACGGCTTTATATGGTATGATAACGGCGCGTGGCCTTCACGAACTGCAATCCGAAGTCTGCCCTCTTTCTGCAATTCCTGGAGCCAATCATCCAGTGTTTCTCAGTCTTTGTTGGCGTACGTTCTTACAGCTTCTGCTATGTTACTATGGCATTTTCCCATAACTCATAGCATATCCGCATATAGCATATTGGTGTACAGAACGAAGCTTAAAACTAATTCACAATTTGACAAAAGCTTGTTATTCTTGACAAAAGCTACAGTCCGCGACACTTGATTACTCTCACCAACAGATTTGAAACCATTTTTGTTAATGGTCAAAATTTTGATAAACAAGCCATATGTATCATTGGATACAATGTTTTAATAGTATTTGTCCAACAATTCGTTTAATTCACTCGTATTTCACAATGGAGAAATTGTTAGAAGCAACTATAATAATTGATAGTGCGACACTTGATTATTCTCATCCACTTTTAGAATCGTAGGTCGCTAGGCAAGTAGAAGAAACAAAACCATGTCACTTGACAACGGATTGACAGTTATCTAATAGTAATTTGAGTTTATTTGAGTGTTCTAAAAGCGATTGGTATTGATATGGTACGCGGTAAAAGTTTATCGTTAGAAGAAAGAGGGCGAATTCAAGCTTATCGACAGGAGAATTATTAAAAAAGAGAAATTGCAAGAAAAATCGGGTGCAGCTCACGGGTAATCAATGTTTATTTAAAAAACAGCGAAAACTACAGAAAGAATCGACGAGGACGCACAACTTCAACAACACTAAGGCCCGAATTCAAGAACGACGCTCAACCATCACTCACACTAAAATCAGACTCATCTCATCCTAACCGTATTCAGAAACCATTTTCTTAAATGAGTGACTAAACTGTCCCTAACTTTGAATTGAAGACATGCGCGTTACGTACCATAAGTGAGTGAGAAATTAGTGTGGCTTTTCGTCCCCTCATAGCGTACTCCAGATTAATTTTGGTGCATTTTGACCAATTAAAATCCGACAGTTTCATCAAGTTGCAAGTTTTCCTGGAGTGATTGGCCACCTATAAACGGCACCCACATTGAAATAGCAAGCCAAGGTGAATGAAATGCATGAACAATGAAGCTGTAGCTTTACCGAACTTAATTATATTGTTATTCATTAGCCAGGTTCTGATGATTTTTTTATGGCAGTTCCATGGAGATAGTGCTTATGCCCAAAATAGATATTGTATACTTCAGAAACATTGAAAAACCCAAAAAGAGGAGCCGATCAGCGATATAATACCGCATATATTTTAACAAGGATTGTTATTCAAGGCGCTTTTGGTGTATGGAAAGGTCGTTTTAAACGTTTAGAAAAGTGCTTGGAAGTATCATTACTAGATACCACCAGAATTGTTGCTGCTACAGCGGTGGTTCTTAATATTGCCATTGACACGAGCCAGAAAATCGATAAAAGTATAACTATGGAGGAAACTGAAAGGTTTCCGCAGTCCGAAGCGCCAAGTATGGGAATCAGCGCTGCTTTTATTTACGACATTTTAGCAGATCAACGGATTAAAATTGATTTCATATTGTATTAAACCCCCAATTTTTTCTAAATTTGTTTATTTATCTCTAGTCTTTTTGTTTTCACTTCCCCCTGCTTTAGAATTTCTTTGGCAAGGGTAATAAAGACTGTCCAAAATTAAAGAGAAGAAAACTACGCAAGAATCCTTTGCTGCTCGCACGTCATCGACAAGAACGTTTAGAATTTTCACGCATTCAGTGTAACTCTACAGAGGAATGGAAAAATGCCGTTTTTACGGATGAAAAATGTCTAACCTGGATGGTCCTGATGGTTTCCAATATTACTTTCATGACGTCAGGATGGAAGAGAAATTTTTGGCTCGCCGTCACAGTCGGGCAGGTTCAGTAGTGATTTGGACAGCAATTTCAAGTCAAGGCAGAGTTGGCATCGAGTTTCTAGAAGGTCGGCAAACTGCTCAAAAGCATTTGGAGCTTTATTTCCGGATCAAGATTGAATATTACAACAAGACAATGCGCCAATTCACACCACCCAAATAATCCAAACCTGGTTGACTGCTAATAATATTTTAGTTCTGGACTGGCCTGCTATTTCCCTAGACATAAATATCATAGAAAACTGATTGGATTGGTTGGTCAAACGCGTTTATACTGGAGGAAGACTATAGATAAGAATTAATCACCGCTGTTAGAGCCGCCTGGGACGAAGTTCCAGTAAATCTAATAGAAAATGTATTCAATGAATTGCCTCATCGAATGTTAGCAGTCATTGAGAAGCAGGGAGGGCATACGAAATATTAAAATAAGCATTAGGATTAACTGTTGTGTTCTAGGTTAATTAAAAATATGAGACTAATCAAGTCTCTCATCAAAAATTACAATATTTGCTTTACAAAAAAATCAAATGCAGAATACGAAATTGTAAGACAAATTATCAAAGAAATATTGTTAAAATCTTTAATCTAGTGTTTGATGTAGCTTACGAATGAAAATTTTAAGCATTAGTAAAAATTAGTCACAATCATTAGGTGAGAGTAATCAAATGTCGCGCACTTTATATGCCTGTTAATGGCAAAAAACATATTTGCCGCTTTGAATTTTCATCAACAAATTCTAGACGAGTGTCGTTTTAATTTCACACATTCATATTTTGAAGTTAAAACGACAATTTTCAACTGTTAATATATTCAACAAATTTTCAACAAAAAATGTTTCTATATTTTTCACACTTTATTTTCAAATTATGATAAGAGCAAAGGAACATCAGTAGCTGTAAAAGTCCGCAAACTAAAATCAACAGTTGCATTCAAATTATTTAACTTTCAGTTTGGTAAAATCAAATCTTCAAGAATACAGTCATCATTTTTTTTACCTAGTTTTACACCCAACGGGTCATGTAATTTTAACATTTATTCCAGCTAATCAAATTATTTCGAAAGGTTAAAAATTTTGCATATATTTAAACTAACCATATCAACATTTCGGGTGGTAGGAATGAAACGTATAAATAGAAATCAAGTTTAGAAATAAATCATCAGTTGCAGTTTGTCGATACACACCATCCAACCCAACCATCAACATGAAAGTCGTAAGTGATATAAACAGCATACAAAAGATCAATATTTTGCAATGTTGTATCATATTTAACATACGTCTACATTGAGATAATAGAATACCATTCAATATTTTTCTCCTATTCCGAAATCAACGACTATTTGCATACTTAAAACATCAGCCTAGAAAGCTGTGAAATAATTTCTGTATTAGCACGATTCCGCACACAGAATCTAACAGAAAATCATTGGGAGTACATATTTTAATTCCTATAATCCACGAACAATAGTTTGTGCCCTAACGACCTAAATGTCAATATATTATAATATTTTGTCTAATTTGGATATATTACATATATGTACTTCAGTGACAGGTATTTATTAAAACTCTGAAGCAAGCTGATTATTCATACCGATTCAACCGAATCAAATTAATCCATATAATAATGGAAATCGCAATAGACTAAAACAGATGTAAATGACGAAAGTGGACATTTGTATGTAAAAACCGTAAACTAAATCAGTTAACTAATGTCCACGTTAATGCAGGCAATCATCATTTTCGCAATTGCCGCCGTTGCTCTAGCTGCACCACCAACTCCTGATTCTCAAGCTGCAGTGCTCAGAAATGAAGTGGACAACATTGGTGTCGATGGCTACAATTTCAGGTAATTGCTTAATGCATTGGGTACTTTCAACTCTGGCTGGCTTCAATATTTCAAACTTACTTCAGTTTAAATTATATTTCACATTTCACAGTCCACATTTGTAGAATGCCTTTGATTTGCGTACTTAAAATATGCTTTTAAACCTACTAAGATCTGCGAAATATTCTCAAAAGTAGATACATTTGGGAGCTAAAATTTTATATCGTTGGAAGGTAGTAACCGAAAAATGCATTGCTAAAAACTTTACATGCGAGTGAAAATGTAGACGTTTGATTAATGTTTTCAGCTATGAAACTAGCAACGGAATTGCGGCTGGAGAACAAGGACAAGTTGTAAACGCAGGAGCCGAAAATGAAGCTCTTGTCGTCCGTGGTCAGTTCCAATATACTGGTGCAGATGGTGTGTTGTACAGTGTCAGCTACGTTGCTGATGAAAACGGTTTTCAGCCACAAGGTGCTCATTTACCTGTGGCCCCCCAGTGAAAATGACTATTCCGATAAATAAAAATGTTTAACAACAAACAAGTTTTAATTTCCACTTGCAAGCTCCCGTATTTATAAACTTATAACTTTCTTATGGTTACGACAGAAGTAGCAGCAACCCGAAATTATTAAAATATGCATTAATACTATTCATATAAGTAACATCAGTGAAACAGGAAAATAAGCTAAGCCTAATGATTTAAAGAGTTTTTTGGACATAGTAGGATTCCAATATAACACTTTTTTGGAAGAGATTAATAGTTATATTTACAAAAGGTAAGTTCCACCATTTGTTTAATAAAGTTGACTTTTCTAAATGTATCTTTGAGGCTTCTAAAATGACGGAGTGTTATGATTTGTGGATTAATAATATACTGAAGAACTCTAAACCTAAATATAAAACTTACAACAACGTACTGAACACTCTTCTATAAAAACAAAACCCAAATGTAGTGGCAGTGGCAGTCTCCAGCAATTTAGACAAGAATGATCGCAATCTGATTGGTATAAAAAATAAATGCCGTTTCTCTATTGGTTAAGAACAATGTCAACGTGAACAGCGTAAATAACACCATGATCAAACATTTTTAATAACCGAGTGTGGAGCAATTGACGATTATTTTATTAGCCCCATTCTTATCAATAATCGATTTACGCACGGAAAATATTTTTCCCCGCTGCAGAATAAATTTCCATACCTCCTTGATGACGTTGCACTGGCAATAAGAAGCGGTATGGTTTCCAAAATTATTAATGAAAAATTAATAATTTTAACAAGCCGCTATCATCAGTTTTTATCTGCTCCATTACGTGGTTCTCATTTAAATGTATCCAATATGACATAGTAAGAAAACGCAATGGATATATTTTATTTTGAATACAACAAAGAATTTCAGAAACATTTGAAATAATTTAAAAAATACAGTGGCGTAAATAATTTTACTGCAAAATTTTGCTCAAATATCTTCACGCGTTTTAAAAAAAATATATAATTTTATATGTTTTATATTAAATTTCAACACCCTGTAAATCCGTATCCAGCATTTTTGGGCTATCATTTATATAACAGGCTAGGGTTATTTTTGGATCTAGAATACGTGGTTGAAATAATGCCCCAACCTCATGAAACACCTTCTATAATTAAAGATAGCTTTAGCTGGTTCCATATGACTTATATAATAAGTGTTTCTTAAATTTTAATCTTAGCAAATAAATGAGAACTACGGCCTTAGTGTGACCACGTGCATACATAATGTCAGAGTTCAATTAATAAGGAAAAGCGGTTACAATGCCATATCCTAATTACCTTGATTCTGTTGTTCGTCTTCACTTTCATTTTTGATTTGATTGCCAACACTCGCGGTGGTCGGTATCAGTTTATTCGACTACATTCAACGATAGTAAAACTTGCTTGCTAAATACCAGGAGCCGATGTTACTATTGACTTAGATGGAGCTTTACATTCAACTATTATTTTTATACAAACACAATTGATGCAACCGCTATGGAATATGTATATATTTTCAACTATAAAATTATCAGTTAATATTACAAACATTACTATTTTGTCAGATCAGGCCCTTCCATTTATGCGGTTGCGGGTGGACACTTTCTGTGATTCCGACAGAGACGCGAGCTCTGGAAAACCGCCCATACCTAAACCGGGACGTTTTCATGTCCTACCCTTATATCCTAACTAAAACACATACAACCCTTTCCTATATCCTCCCCTTGAGGAAGGCAACATGAAACCACCTCAAATATTTGATTTTTCCCTAGTACAACATCATGGATATGTTCTTATTAAAAGAGTCTGGAGTTTCAAGCTCCAGATCGGATCTTCGGGGGGAGCAAATAAGAAACGAACCATGAAAAATAGGAAATTACAATCAAAGCAAATTAAGAGAATATGCACATGGATTGATTGTCTTGAGTACCTCGGACGTATTATGAGGAACGGAAGCAAATATTAACTTCTTCCAGTCCGTCCCCCAAAGGAAAGTTTCTCTAAAATATGTTTTTAAATATTGACAACAATTCATAGAACTACTCTAACTCCAAAGGTATCAATTAAATGCCAACAGATCCAAAATAAACATCAATTTTTCACAAAAAATCTAATATCTATATTTTCTGACCGTGGGATGTATAATTAAAAAGCGAACATACCAATCAAAAGCGACTATTTTCATACTCATGAAGGCTTCCTACATATCGTTGCAATAACCCACAAGTAGAGTAAAAAAGAGCTTGGTGAACTTCCTTTGACAGAGTGGGTTTCTGGGTCAACTGAAAGAAAGAAAAACATTCGGAACATAGGCACCCGGACAACAATAATGCAAAAAACACAATATACCATTTTTTACACTAAAAAAAAAATTTTAAAAACAGTGCTGTTGCACCAATCAAAATGCGAACGGTACGGCGAATTCTTTTTTTAACGGTAAGCGACAGATCCGATCAACGAGCTTTTAAAGTCTGCCTTTCCATGCTTATCATCTGCTGTATTAATAATAATTTCATGCAAATTATCGCCAACATTTCGAATTTGATAATGGCCAAAAAGAGAAAATTAAGCAACGATTTTACTTTTTGATGCTGTGTTGTTTTCCGATATCACCACATTTAAACCAAACAGATGAGCCAATAACTTTCATTCTTGCTTTGACCGTCATTCAATGATTAATATGCAAGTTGATCAGCAACACAGATGGTCAGTGAATGAATGTGTGGTGCGAAATTCTTAGGCTCCATATCGAAGATTCGGCCACTTGCATCACGAATTTTCTCAAAATAAATCAAAATGTTCTTAGACATTTACCCATAGCTCGGAATAATGTAACCCTGCTACAATAAAATGGAACTCCAGCGCATTATCCAGCAGTGATTATCTTAAAATATATCGTTCCCAAGTCGAAAAAAGTATATTTCCTTTTGTTGAGGAAAAATGTAGCGAAATCATCCTAACATACCAAAAGATAAACATACGAGTTAGAAACTAATTTTTATACCAAATCTTTTAAGCATGAAAGCAAGGTCATTTTATTCCAGTATTAGTTTTGCCTGCATGAAAATGGCATTGCTTCGAACATATAAATGCTGTAGTTTGTTTAATAATGTCCTTTTTGTAGCCAGGTTTTAAAATTGTCGTAATATTTAATCATTCAGATAATCGCATAAAGATTCAAATTTATTTAAGAGTATTAACGTTGATCATAGTCATCATTGTTCACTTGCACATATGATTTTATAAACTGCGACAAACAAATGAAAATGACCGTTTTACAACTTAAAAAGTTTGCTATCTAATTTAGAAACCATGTGGAAGATACGTTTATGGTAATCATAATCCACGAAACATACTACGATAGCTACAAACATACAACTATGAGCAATTTACTAAATTGGGATTAAAGTCGTTATACGATTTGTAGTTAATGCCTCGAAAAAAAGTATTAACTAATTAAAGTTTTTAGAATATACACAGAAGTAAAGTACACATCACGGATAGAAAATTCAGAAAAGCGTTTTTTTTGCTTCGCTCTCTTTGTAGTACAAGGAAGAAATTGAAATGCGGAACCCTGTATAAAGTATATCGGTTATAAATCTTTGATTCATCTGGTTGCTTTGGAAATGCAGATTTGTTTATAAAAAAGTTATAACAAAAATCTGATATAAGCACTTCTTGAGTACAAAATACAATCATTTATACGTAAACTGCACACGTTCATACATATACATTAACCATTTAAATTTCAAAATAGTTTTTTAAACTTTGAACTAAAGCTAAATCACAATCACACTGTTTATGCTTTATGGGTTCTAATCTTGTAAGAAATTAGTAAATTAACAAACCACCTCACTTTTACAATAAAAATATGAAAATCGTTTTGAAAGCATAAATATTTTATAGTAAGCAAGATTTATAGTAATTCAAGAAACAGAAATAATGCGCATGAAAATGCTCAATGCCGATTCAGATTTCTCGATTGTTCCAGAATGCTGGTTAGAGTAAGTCAGCTGTTAGAGTGCCAGAAACTTGGCAGTAAAAGTAAAACCACAGAAATGGGGTCTTATTTAATTCCGAAAATGTTGTCAGGGGTAGATTAAAAAAAAAACACTTCAAAATTTGCGAATTAAAGACTGAACGCTAATTAACGGTTTCGAATTCTACAAAACGTCTTTGCTTGTGCGAAAGATGATTCTTCTTTAGGGTTTCACAGGAACTGTAGGAAGTGAAAAAAAGGGGAGCTCAGGCAAGACTGAGATGCTTTGCTATTGTATTTCCGTTAAAATAAAATCACTTGATGAGATTTTTTCAAATTTATTGCATAACAAAACCGTTCTAAAGAGTTACTTATGATGGGGCAACGGGTAAATGAGCACCTTCCGGTTGGAACCCGTTTTCATCAGCTACGTATCTGACCGTGTATACAACACCATCAGCTCCGGTGTATTGGAATTGACCCCTGACAGCGATTGCTTCATTTTCTGATCCAGCATTGATAAGTCGACCTTCTTCTTGATGCGAAATTCCATTGCTTGTTTCATAGCTAAGAAAGCAAACGCGATGTAAGTGATTTCAGCTTAAAATTTACGAAGAAATAACACATTTTTTTTTAAATGGAATATCTTACGCCCAGTTGAAACCCTCTACGCCAATGTTGTCATTTTCTTGTCTGAGCACGACAGCCTCAGCATCCGGATTTTGGGGAGCAGCAAGAGCGACAGCTAACACCGCAAAAAGGACAATTGCCTGTACAAAACATTATTATTAGTTAACAACTCAGTTAACTGATATCAATATAAGAAACTAAAATTATACATCCATGTGCAATTACCACTTAGTAAAGAGATGCATAATTAATAACATAATTCATTGACTAGCTTTAAATATCACACCCGTTTATTTTTTTAGCTAAGTGTAAATTTATTGGCCTTATCTTTAAAAACCGAATTATTGTCATTATTCGATACTATCTGAGTAGGTGTTAAATAGACAGAGAAAAACTGTTGCCTCACAAACTTGATTATCGCGGCGCAGTATTAAGTAATAAATGAAAGTTATCATCTTACAGATGAGTCCAAAAATGTCACCAAATGCAAATATTTACTTACTACTTTCATGGTGAATGATTTTTGGCAGGCTCAATTGATAAAACTGATGATTTAACTAAAAATATCTTCTTCTTATAATGGAGTGAATCGGTCCCCTACCAAAAAGCCTATTTTGACATACGGATTGAATTTCGGTAGTAGTTAATTTAATATTTCACTTCTGCTGACCTTTGCGTGGATTATTAAGCATTTTAGAGGTTGTTAGTTAATGAAGGCTCTTGTTTGCTGTATCGATCGAAGTCAATATGTTGTGAAAATATGCAATTATAAAAGTCAAGATCCAAATAGCGAAAAACTTGTAGCAAATTTTGCCAACTTTCCATCTATTTTTCAGACACTTTTGTTCGGTTTCTGAAAAACATCTTACTAACCTACACAAACAATGAAAAAATGAAGATACTCAAAACTCATGAAAAACTAAAAGTTTTAGATTCCTATCACATAAACCGGATGAAAAGTTGACACATGAACAAGGATTTGTTAAACCGTTCGAGTTTTTCTTTAAAATATACATTATTACATCAAACAAAGCGAGAAATACACTAGGCCAGATAAGTTAGCGCAACTATAATTCACAGAAAAAGTGCATATGATAGAAAAAAGTTGTGACAACATCGCTTTCAAAATCGGAAACAGAAAAAAAGTTTCAACAATATTTAGGGTTGGCGACAAATTTACAACTTTGTTACTAAAACTAAACTATGCTCAAATCTGAAATAGGCCAAAGGAGCATACACCTAAATTCTTTATTAATTTTATTTATCTTGTTTTCTAAAACAATTAGGCTGAGAGAAGTCAGAGCGATTTTTTACATATTTGTAGTAATTTAGCCTTATTAAACAATTTATGAATATACTCTTTATCAGATATTATTTGAACATGATTGAAGATTTACTATCGAAACGAGAAGGTAAAATTTCTAAACTAATTTCTTTATTAAATGGAATTTTTCTCTTACAGCGTGAGCATAAGTGTGTCGTTGGTCATATAGGCTCTCGATTAGCTTTTGATAAAGAGTTCGTTCTTTGTTGTGCAACAAGAGCACTCTATCTGTAATAGAAGAACTGAGTAAAAATTAGTGTCTTTTTAAAAGGCAATCATTTTGGACGAAATGACCAAGAAAACGATTTTGAAATCGTAAAACTGTTGCACAAATTCATTATCTATTTCTTCTATGTGCACATAGCGTGGATAAATTGATGCAAGAACGAAAAGCTTTCAACTTTGCTAATCGTGGGGTATGAAAACAGAAGCCTCATTAGATTGAATCGCTTCAATTGAAACTGTGTGTGATAACAACAAATAATAATTGAAATATTACCACTTTCTTGCTAATTAACATATAATTCAAGCATTTTTTTCGAGATCTCCACAGGCAACAAGATGAAATTTCAATATATGACCAGCAAGAGTAATTTTCCAATATTCTAACTTTTATGAAAATATTTCAAATATACACTATACATAAAGGAACATTATTTTGCTACAGTAATCAAACATTCAATCAGCATTATTGTACAATTTGCGGATGCCGTTAAAATGAATGGTTTTGTGAACCATTTCCAAGAAGCGTGTTGAAAGACTCGTACAGTGAAACCTCCACAATCGCCGCCGGAGAAATGCGACCATAGTTTTAACTGCCTCCACACAACCGACAGAAGTGTAAGACATAATAATAAAATACGCCAAAACTCGATTTCAATTTATGGATCACCTCCTGGCATTAAAAATATTTTTTCTGATAAGTCCCCTGAATATGAAAATAATCTATCGTGGATTTCCATGCTGCTTGGCAAGTCATGTTCAGTACATGCCTGAAGAACAAAGACAACACAATTACCCCATGAGCAGAGCAAAAAGGATTGTCGAAAAATGGCAATTCTTGGTCCAATTGTGACTCTTGATAAATTAATTTTGGACATAATGTCGTTTTTACCTCTAAAAGCTCGTCTTATATTACACCACCATTTTTTGGTAGTAGGAGAGAAACTCTCGATTTTGCCGATAACTGAAAGCATTGTATAGCACTCGACATAAGTGAAATTGGAAGTCATCAAAAGTTGCCTACTTGGCGTAAGAAGACATCTAGGTCATCATAGATGCGTTTAAATGCATTTCTATACGACACAATTAACATTTGAGAGGAAAAAATTATTTACGTAATTACTAGTATGTAGCCGGCGGCAGGCAAATTACATATTTCAACGGTAATCTAAGAATATAGACAGACATCATCAGCATAACTCATTAAAACATGTCATCACATACGGTTTAAATAACAATCAATGAATTCTAGAAATTAAACATAAGCGGAGAAAGGACAAGGACAAAAATTAAACCAAAGTGAATATCATGATGTTACGTCCTAAAAGATCATTGGATCTTAAAAATTACCAAACTAAAGCCTCTGTGCAATATACAGGGTCGCCATAAAGTTGTGATTTTACGCTACTCACCAAATGTAGAGAGTACTTTTTAAATACAGAACTTTGTCAAAGTTCATTTATCCTTTTAGTTAAAGTATTATTCAGTGATGTTTCGAAAGTAAAACTGAGTTTTATTAAAAATCGAAAACTGGACATGTTTATGGCACATAGCTATAAATATGCGGTCATAAATATAACATCTGAGAAGTAATGTGCAAATCAATTAAATGTTTCAACTGAGCATTTGTTAACACTATAAACAGTGTTTAATAGAAAAAAAATTAAGCTTAGTTGGTACGATGACAATATGCGGAAACTAAAGTCTGTAGCTTCTAATAAAGATAACGTCTTACAAGTTTTAATTTACCTTTGCGTTGTTCTCCCAATCTTGACGTTCCTTCTGTAAGGTATAGCTGTATATGTAGCTATAATTTGTCATATTGCATAGGCAATATTTTCCATAGGAGAAATACACAATTTTTCCATACAAAACTACAAGTCAAGTAATTAAGGTAAGTCAGGAAGCTCTCAAAAATATCAATTCCAAGTGTTTGTGGCTACTAGTAAAGAAGAATTGTTGAATTAAAGTCAATTTTGTACATTTTAGATAAATGAGTATAAGTATAACCGAAGGTCTAAAAATAGCTTTCCCAAAAGATAATAAGTACTCAAACCACACGACTTCTTGCAAAACCCTGCATATGACATAATATTTTATAATTTAGACTATTTTGTTTCTTAGATGATGTCAATCAAGGTAAGGAACGTTTCCACAAATCTTTTTAAAACCGCACAACAAGAACATGAAGATCGCTGGCTCTGAGACATGCGGCACTAAAAGAAATCAGGCAGGCAGCCTCCTGAAGGAGGTGAAACTGACACTACTAGCGCGCCTTCAATCGGCGGCCTAGTAGCCATCTCTAAGATTTTTTACCTCCAGCCAAAAATCTATTATTTACCCAATACGATGAGTGAATTAGCGAGTTGTTTCGTTTGCATGTGGTGCTCCTGACTATGTACTTGCCTCTGTAAATACCTCAATGGCCTCTAAGGATTTCACATCAAGTTACAGAGTGGCAACTGTGAATATATAATCAGAAAACTGTGTACATTCTTTGGGGATTGAAATGTAAACAGGCCTTCCTGTTTCTACAATTTTAAATTGTGTAGCGAGAAATCTGTAAATAAAGTAATCGTATATGAACCAAGAAAATAATCCAGTGGAGGTCACAAGAGGCTTATAGAAGCAGAGGAGGACCACCAACTAGATGGACAGAGGACATTAACCACAGCCGACTGCGCACAACAGAACAGAGTGGCAAAATTTGCGGGTCCTATACTCAGCAGTGGACCTAAAAGGGCTGATTGATGACCATGATGATGAATTTTTAATGATCATACATACATATAAAAATCGGTAGTACTAATTTAAATGCTTTACTTCAACTGCTATTGCTTGAAACTGAAAATTCTTCAGGCTATTGAGACGTCGCGGAATAGTTTTTTTGCTAAAATTTTGAAAGCTCGAGCTTCCTGCAATCCTCAGAAGTAAATTGCTTATAAGCACGTCATCCGTAATCCGTTGTGTTTACATACGATAAAATCATGTAATTAGAGGAACCGGGGCGCAACGGTATGGTCCCAGTTTCTGAGAAAATTTTCTGACGGTTCTCTGATAAAAGATTTAGCCCAATAACTCTGTAACATATTGACCATTACAGTATTTGCGTATTTTTGGAATGAAATGACGTCAAGACTGGAGGTGAAGGGTGTCAAAACCGAACATGGAAGACCTCACTTTGTACTGGTCTTCAGAATAAAATTTTATTCAACTAATAAACAATAAGCGAACATTTTTACAAAAACTTTGAAATTTGAAATTCAATGTCACGATCCTTTATTACACTGACTACATTCCCTTACTGCACTGAATTATGTTCCCAATTCTACTTTGCAAAAATTGAGCTTCCAATCTTATTTATTGCTTTGATTCAGTTCCATATTTATGGCCGTTCCATATTTATAAGAAAGGTTTTTTTGTCTAAATTACTTCATTTTATTTCCAAATTCCTCCAATTGGTAAATATCCTATATGGCATTCACGTTCACGTAAACGCTTGTATTACACACATGTCTTTACAAGTCAAATCAATATAAATATTTTCCATTGATGAGCTATTATTAGACTAACAAAATATCAGCAACCAGTAAATGTTACCAGTGTTACTTCATGTCTTCTATTCACCGTTTGCATAATAATCTTACACAATTATTGGAAAAGTTCATTTATTTACTTTAAAAAAATATATTTACAGCAATAAATAGAATAACTACATATGAGAAACATATAGACATAGCACGTACATAGAAATGATCTCAAACGAGATTGGAAAATCTGACCATAGATGCAGAAGTATGATATAGAACAAGAGAATGAATGTGAACTAAAATCATCATTTATGGATGTTTAGTGCAACGAAATGAAAATTATGGGTTTTCTGTAAAAAAAATACATGAGACATGCAAAGTAATAAAGGTTACAGGAAGGCTATTTTGAAGGTAAATGGGCTCCTTGAGGTTGGAATCCATTCTCATCAGCAATATAGGTAACTGTGTAGACAACTCCATCTGCACCGGTATATGTAAAACTACCTCTGACTGCTATAGACTCATTCTCAGATCCGGCGTTCTGCAAAGTTCCTTGCTCTTGTTGAGAAATACCGTTGCTCGTTTCAAAACTATAAAAGAATTTAGAGGCAGTTAAAACTATCGTATTAATACATCTAAATTTAAATTAAGCAAGACTAAAAAATACAGAGGCCTGATGCACAATAATGATTACATATCCAAAAATTTGTTGTTACTTGGTTTCATGCTAGACGGCATGTTATAGTATTCTTAGAACTTGAAAAACCTGAGAACATCCTACCGAGTAATCGAATTGTAAGAAAATAGTCAATAAAAGATTGAGTAAGTTTTATAATTCAAGTCGTGTAAAAATCAGCTTGAAATTGGTACTTCCACGCTTTCACCAAAGAAACTAAAAGTTGAATCCGGCTTTGAAGAATCGGACCGGAAATAAGTATTAAACTTATTTTGTCAAAAAAATACAACCAATGATTTGAATGCACAAAACTGAAATTGAATGAAGTCGAATAAAGATCAAGGGCGGTGGCAAACAGTGAGGAAAAAATGTTACAAATGATTTATATTAATATTACCGAAATAAAATTATATCGTGCTCATTAAAAAAGAAGCGACTATACAGTAAAATCGATAAGTAGAAGTACAAAGTCATTAGTAGAAAATGTTTGGAATAAAATGCTTTAAGAGACTGAAATAGCTGAAGAGACTACTATCTTAGATAATAAAGTAGAATATCAAGGAAGTTCCATGCAATTCAAGGAATTTTCTTCAAATGAGACCGTGAACTTACGCAAAATTATATCCATCGATTCCTGCGTTATCACTGTCGTATTTCAAGACTTGAGCTTGAGCATCAGCAGGATTTACTTGGGGAGCAGCTACGGCAGCAGCCACAAACATCGAAATAATAATAAACTGGAAAATAGTATTTGTAAAATATAAACCATGAAAAACTTTTCATCAAATATTATCTGTATTTCCAATAAAATTGTGAAACATTAAAGAAATTATAAATAAATTTAATGATGGTCATAATGTATTAAATTATGAAAATGAATGCTACCTGGTCCTTTAGAATTAATGAATAAATAAACAAATAAAAAAACAAAAACTGACAGTAGTAGAACCTTTATGAAATTGGTTTATTTGAATTTTATTAGTGTTAAATTTTTTTTGTGTGTGAATAGTTTTATTTTGTTAATAATTAAAGTTGGAGTCCAGTATTTTCAATCCTACTTGCTATTAATTATTATAATAAATAAGATAACTCTAAGTTACGTATAATAAATAAGAAAACAAGTCACAATTTTCTATGTTATCCAAATCACAAATAAATTCACAACTTAAGCACTCTGAAAGAAACTAATTACTCCACTCACCATTTTCATTTTGATTATTTTAAAAATAACTAACGCACGAACTATGTGGTAAGTAACCAGCCTTACATCTGTTTTTTCAGACGTACAATTTTACTTTTATACCGACAAATATCCCTGTGAACAATTCGCCTTTGGATTAATTGACATTTATCCCTCCTATGAGTCTCATCTTCATTTTGGCATTGCATACAAAAGTTCAAAGTGTAAGATGGTTGTAACCGCTCGCCTGCATCTTCAATAATTGCTTTATCATTGCTTCGGCTACATACTCGTAATGAAGTAAATATTGTGCTATTTCCTTCTGTTAGCGCTGTTGTTAATAAAGTTAATATTGCGATGTATTTAAAGATTCTCTCTTATGCTTCGAAAATACTCATGGTCAGAATAAGAAATATTCAGAACACCGAATAAACTTTTCATTGCGAAATATCTAAAATAATAAAAGGCATTTAACTGTCAGTAGGAGCTCTCATCTACACAGATACAATATTCTTGTATACAATAATAAAAAATGTATTACTTCTATAGCTAAGTGAAATAATAATATACAACACCTTAATTAGCAAGCTTTTCTTGGTGCGAATGTTATCTAATATACGAGCATTTTCCTCGACAAACTTTGTATCCCAACCATGAAAGACAGTCAACGGATTTTGGTGACCTAGTTCATAGTGATTTGAGTGGACCCATTAAAATATACTTCTATGACAGTCGTAAATGTTTCTTAACTATCGTGGATGATTTTTCACATTTTCTAATAGTAAAAATTCTTAAAACTAAAAGTGATATAGTGAATAAAACTTAAGAGACTTTGACAAGGAAGTTTGTACTCAATATGATATGAAAGTAAAGAAGTTTACACTGGACAAACAAAGGAGAGGACTAAACCTCAAATAAATGTAAGAATTTTGCGAAAGAAAAATACGTTTTGAATGAATCCACTTTAAATATCGTCAGAAATTAGACTATGGACTCTAAATTCGCAAATAATATATACAATCAAGTTCTAAGGTGTTCAGTTTATGAACGAACACAACTCCAATGTTTACCGTGAAATTAAGAAAATATCTCTTAAAATGTAGAATGAAAGAATTGATTTGATCAAATTTAGAATCCCTGAGAATCATGCATGTAGTGTTTTTCTAGCAATAAGGAACAAATCAGATGCAACAGCAAGAAGCAGGTACTGTAATTGTACAGTGTGTTTATTTCTGTGTTTCTAGGATAATGTGGTGGTGTCTACAAACTATGGCTCAAAGACCAACAAATAATTGGTTTAGAAGAAAGAACGAATATCACGTGACATGAATTTTGATGAATCTTACATGGAATTTAAATCACTGCATCAACCTACTTTGTTACAACAACAGAAAGTTTACATAGTTAAGAAATCTCCTTAAAACTGAATTGAGCATTGTACGTACTGCGACATTCTCTCAAGAGCTCTAATTTTAAATTCATCAAAATTAAGACCTAAATCAACTTTAATAGATCAAAATATAATTTTTTATCTGTTGACGATGCGCATATCATAGGTCTAGATAAGGAAGTACTGAAGTCATTTTGCGAAACCTGAAGTCAGAATTCAACATCAGAATAATAGACGAAATTTCTTGGTGCAAGTGGTATCAAAATACGTTCATCACCCTACCCAAAAAGGGCTGCTCCTCGACCTATGACCACTTCAGCCTGATAAGTCTCATGTCACATGTTCTAAAGGCTTTGTCTAAAACAGTATAATCCCCCAAAACCCCATAAATATAAAGCGTTTGTCCTTAGTGGCGTTAGCGGATTTTCGTACGATTATGAAATTTTCATGAAAAATGAAAAGTCGATACAGCCAGTTTTACTAGAAAAAGAGGACGTCCAAGTGGAGTTATGGATAACGTAGAACAAAAGAGAAAACGGGGTCCGGCGTCAGATTTACCCATCCAAGAGGTTAGAACAGATCAGTGTGGTCAACTTCCGATATGGAATACTGAAAGGCAAAGGTACAAGTATTCCTGTGGGGTAAAGTATTATATCAAGTGTGAAAAATTTTACGTATTTTTGTGCTTGAACAAAGACATAAACTGTTTCTACAAGCTCTACACGGAGGATTTCAGTAAAGTAAAATTAAATAATCCGTTTTAGAGTTTCATAAACTATTTTAAATACTGTCTTGTTGCATGTTGTGCCATACCTATATGGCACATACAATAAATATGTAATAAGCCAAAAAAAACCACTAAAAAATAATTGTTTAAATATTTTTTCTTAACTCTTGTTTGAGCTTGTGTTCTGTCCCTTATATTTTTTCATAAAAAACGAAAAAATCATGCCGTAAGAGGTTAAGAGTAATCCAAACAAGAATTTACCGCAAGTTTGGATTTCGGAATGGGGTTGCCACACGGGAAGTCCTCTTGTAAAAGGTTCAACAGTTGGTGTAGTGCAGTGTTGCATGTAATAATGAATGCGGTACTTGTATCTTAGCGCACTTGCTATTTACCCTGCCATATTTTCGTTCGATTGGAATAAACCAAATACGAGATTGATTGAAATTGACTGCTTGAAAGTATATTTTACAAGTCCAAAAATAGAATAGTTTTAAGAGGACCTCACATTCGCCTCTGAGCGAGGTTGACAAGCTCAGTGTAAATGTCATCGTTTGCTTAGAATTAATATAACAAAAATTAAATGTCCAGAAAATGTAAATAAATTAATGAGTCAAAGATCAGCTGCCCGAAAATGCGCCACTTTCGCAATATAAATCGTATCATAAAAAATACTAGCGATCGTCTTGTCACTATCCTGTAATGGTTCAAATATGAATTGAAACTTACTATACCTATAGACCATACGTAAATGTGGCTTTAAGAAAAGTAAATTTATTATTATTAATAAATTAATATAACAGTTATTACAATTCTGCTCAATGTTTTATTTGTAACTAAATGTGTCATTAAGCAAGAAATGTGTTAGGTAATTGATAGTGATATCTGCAATAAATACAGTACAAAACTTATGAAGCTGGGGAAATAAACCACGAGTTCCTATGTTCTGCATAGTCGTTAAATGAAAACCACCATATCTACAATTTAATCATTTCGCTGTGTCATCAAACAAAGAGTAGCAGCATCTCAAAATGTAATATTACATAAGAATTAGTCGTCAGTAATTAGAAATGGGTCCATGGTCTCCCAAAAGTGTAACCTAAAAGCACAGGGTCATCCTCATTTAATTTGCCAACGAAAACCGCCTTATAAAGATAGTTACTACTTGCTCACTTTTAGGAGCTTGAAGACAACACTGACCTAATGACTTGAAATGTTTGAATGTGTATTTCTCTAAAGCCGGTCCAAAAAAAAATTATTTAACTTGTTTGATTGACCTTCAATTGACCGAGTTTGAAAAATTATAGCTATATTTTACTACCAAAAAAGTGAAAAACTGCAGACCATTGCAAAATTATTTGAAAGTGAAATTTTAATTGAGATTGCTACTGTCGAAAAGAACCACAACATAAGCTATGAAATTGAGCGGCAAAATGGTAAAGTAGAATTGCCATGGCGTATTTTTCCGAACTATATCGACAATATTTTATGTTGTTTTTCATGAACAGTACGTACGTTTCATCATAAATTACACAATCGATATCCACTGAAAACTAATAGTAACTCTGTAATGTTTCAAGAAAAAAAAAGTGCTCCTAAAATTGTGTGTTTGCCCATAATAGGCTTACCATGCAGAAGTGATTTTAAAATTATTTTTCTAGATTAGACCCATTTCAAGAACATCCTGTATGTAGATTCTCAAAGAATTAAATGTGTCACGTAATGCTGACCACCATCGTCATAAAATGTATAATACATAAACGTTTATTTTCTTAATTATTATTTTATCGCAGCTTATCGTCGAATTTACAACACACATTACAATTCCTTGAGTCTCAGAACAAATGAAGGTTCTTTAAGTTATTGACATTTACTGAACTATTATAAAATACTAGATTTGCAGATTCACAGGTTCCCAGTACCAATGTAAAGTGATAGTGAGAGTGAGAAAAGGCGAAGTAGGATGCTGGCATGTGACCTTCAAAAGAATTATTGAACGTGGTTGCACAAAAATGTGAAAAAAAGATGAATATTTACTAGTCACCGATTATAAGAAATGTAATATGCCGCCAGGCAGAGATGGCCTATCAGTGCCGTCACAGGTTGATTTTATCTAATTAAGTAATTTTTGTTAAATGCTCCATCAAAGCAATATTAATAACATGCTTTTTTTTTCATGTTCACCTAATTAGGTAAACTGTTTCTTTGCCATAGGTATGCAGTTGCTGCCAATGGGAATACTACTATAGGCAATAGAATACAACTTTGTTGATACAAAATGTTATTAATAATTTGCCAGTCTCAATCCGAACCAATGGCGGATATAGCGGGGGGCCCACGAGTAGCCCTGCGTTTGAAGCATATACTTTTCACTATTTAACATGCAATTTAATATGGTTTCTTTTGATGTTTTTAACTTTTTATTGTTGTTTTTTTTAACGCTGTTTATTGTTTCTATGTGTGATTGTTGTTTTTAAGTGCAATAGAAAACCTGCAAAATAGAGGTTGTGCTAGACAAAATTCCTTTATTACTGCGGCCCCTCCTCAAACTCCTAAATCCGCCGCTCATCCGAACATAACAATAAACTGCACGTGACCAACAGCCGGGTTTTGAATCAACGAAATGTTGCCAATCATCTTGACAATCAAAATTATAAGTTTTGTAATTGTGCTAAATAGATTTTAATTAACTAATTTGGCGAAGCAGGTATTTATATGGATTCATCTGCTTTAGCAACACCATGGATATATACATGGATATATCTTCTTTGCTGTGGATATATTCTTGATTAATAAATTTCATTGGCAATTGTGTTTTAAACCGAAACCTAGACAACGCCAGATCAAATAAATAATTCCACTCTCTTGATATCAAATTTAGGATAAAAATTATATTTGTTTAATTAGGTGCTGCAAATAAATAGCTAATCCGCACCGATTTCTACTACATATGTAGAAAATGCGGCACAGCCTATTGACAATATCTTATAATGTAATATAATTGACACCAATCGTAATAATTCCGACGTAACATAACTTGTGGGTGCCAATTGCTCCCAGCCACGATATGAAAAACGAAGCCAAACACATTAATTAGCACTGGTGGACGGGAACATTTTATGCTGAAGAATTGCTTACAGTATTTGGACACACTTAATTGAGTAAACTTATAAGAATACTGTTACATCAAACATTGGCATCTCAGACCGAGGTTGACCAGCTTAGTCTGAATGTCATCGTTTGTTTAGTATTAATAATTATACATGTACATCTACATATAAAACGCGGAGTTGCTTAAGCGCTTATATAAGGAAAAATCCATCTATTGTTATGAATTAAGATGACATAGTCGAATCAGTAAGGAATTAAACAGTTCTGAGTTCAGCAACATTATTGCCATATATTTAAAAATAGCCTAATCAGAAGCCCTTTCTAAAAGTTTTCACCCTTACCAACACCATGGAGCATTTCGCGGCTGGTATTTGCCAGTATTAGTTCGAACACAAATTGTAACGATCGCTATATTTTTGCACGTGTTTAAATCAGCCTCTATTCTGACTACATTTATTTTTTTTGCCAGATTGGTGTATAAGCGTAAAGGTAGGTAATGAATGATTGTAAACTGTGTTAAATATTTCATTACTATTTTGTTTTAATGTTTTACAAATATGTTCTATAAATATTTAAAAGGTCGATATTGTGGAATACTAAGTAGGGTCTGAATGTGGAATATGCCACATAAAAGGCTTTCTTGAAAATATTTGAATATATTTTTTGAAAATATTTTACATGAAAGCAATGGGCTATTTGGCGGCTACTAAACA